CGTGGTACGTATGCACAACCACCGGTTACCACGACGCACAATGCTGACTAGTGTTAGAGACGGTGGAAGAAAGTTAGGGGCATCAGTTCATAAAATCACTAGTCTGATCTATGTCGGCAGATACATACTTTTCGTTTGGAGTCCGCGCGACTATCGTGGTTGGAGACTGTGACATGGCTCAGAATCGATCACAATGGAGTACGTGTATACACTCTTTGTCTTCCCTTAAACGGTGAGACTAAAATTACTTTATACCATTCTTTCTAATTCTTTTTTTCCTGTTCTATATCCTCGAATGTAAGCCTAAATTTAACGGCTGGGAATAAACCCCACGTTGTTAAGTCATCTAAGTGTATCATAGTCAGTAATAAGGGCTATGTTTCCGTTTGTTTAGTCAAACAATTGTACATATTTTGGGATAATTTACTGGATGTACGTCTTTCTGTGTGTTGTAATTTTTTTTTCCATCTTGACTTAATGCGTTTTACTTGAAGGGTCATTAGGATGATGAAGTAATATTTTCGTCTCAGCACACTACTTTTTTCATGTTAGCCAGCAAAAATGACAATAAAACTGTATTCTGACCCAATTATACTCCAAGTGCGTTATTTAAATGAATTCAACCGTTATTCTAGTGAGTCTGACAATATTACAGTGTCTCATCTTTAGATATTCAAGTTTTGAATGCTTTTTGGAGATGTGTTCTTTAGACTAGGCGGTTTGATCTCAAAACTTTTATTGTCTTTTGAGACATCATCGCCAGCACATGTCTTTGAAAGAAACGTAGCGAACACAACATCTCCGAAATCCCCATTCTTTGATATGAATATTCTCCATTTTAAATTACATTTTTATCTTATGAATCAGTTACATCCATCTATTGGTCGTGTATCGTAGAGTTTATCTAAAGTCGGGTGGTTGGCTTATTCTACTGATTCCGTCAAACAAGCTCTTCTCATTTGAACTCGGTAGTTTATTTGACGTATTATTCAATAGATTTTTTTTGCGTGTTTTATCATGTCAGTATCAGTTACTGCAAGTACAATCAGTACAACAGTATTATTATACACATAAATCACTTTATTAGTAGATAACGCGTGATGAAAGACACACATCAATCGGAACATGAGAAATTCAGTGATTTCATTCATTTTGTTGATTATCACAAATTTATCACTCAGTTCTGCCCTTTCCCACAGTATCTAACATTTTCTCAATGAGTTTTATTTCAGTTCTCTCAATGTTTTTTTGTTTTGTTTTTTATTGATTCTTTATTATCTATATCTTGCTAAATTCGAATTCAATCCTGTGATCTCCGTAATTTCTCACTATCTGTCTATGTATTTGTGTAAATCCGCCTTACATCAATCAACATTGACTCCTGGTTAATACTTCTATGTGAATCACACGTCAATATGCGCTGATATTGTAATGGTAATTCATATATATATATATATATATTTCTGTTATTTAATGCAATGATTGCAATTTTGTTTTTTTTTTCTCTCCAAAATAACAAACTATAAATCCTTCTAATTGAACATACAACTTATCTGCTTGTACGCTTATACTTTCTGTTTGCTTTGCTCATGTTTTCTTTTTTATCAACTTGTTTCGGTGTCAATGTTTGTTAACCTAATTATATATGTATGTTTGTGCACGCTAACCACTCTATGATATATACTTGCATTATGCGTTACTAACCATCTAATCTACTTTATTTTGTTAAGTAATTAATACAGACCATTGATAACTGGATGTATTCATTGATATATATATATATATAGTTATTGGTACTTCTTCATTGTTTTATGGATTTTGTCACTTATTATTGTTCTTATTGTCGTCGTTATTTTGGTCAGTTGCACACTTCCATTATTGTGGTCACCGTTGTGACAACCGGTTTCATCAATAACATTGCTTTTTTGCACTACTACTACTACTTAGATATGCGCTGTTCATTCTTCTTGGTCTGTTGTTTTTATTATTCTTAATGTATTTTGAAAGTATCAAAGAAAACGAAATTACCAAAGAATACCTTTATTTTTCATCCTCTCTTATTACAGCTGTTTTGTTCGATTTATAAATAGTATGATTTCGTTCATAAAATGCACAGCCACATAGATTAGTTGTTCAGTTACTGTTTGCAAAACAATTAAAGTTTCATGGTGTGTACACAATGTGTAACTTATCTATGCTTATATATGAAATAGTTGTATATATGAGATGTATGCATATATATATATATATATATATATATATATATATATATATATTCTAAAGATTTATGTTTGTTTTGATGAATTCTGCATGATTGTTTATTAAAAAATGTTGTAATTTTGTCATGTCGATCTTTTGAAGTTGTTAGATCTCATCTTTGTTGTTCTTTTTTTTCTCGTACAACAGTACAAAATATACTACTTCTAATCAATGCATTGTATACTACGGTTAATGACATTATTATTATTATTACTGTTATGCTAATCCAAATGACATATTTCTTTATTTCAGCTTCAATTTGTAAAAATTTTTATATTTAAAGTAGTATAAGAAAAAAAATAATAATAGTAATTATTATTCAAAATGAATACTCTACTATCCTCTGTTTAGCAGCAAGGAACTATAAAGTGTAAGATTGCTTGTTCATGACATTGACAACTCTGACACTTCTACTATATCCGTGAATTGTGAATTAAGTACCTACATCTTTAATCCCAGACCCCCATCACCGGGTACAATAAACCACTTTTAGAAAGGAACATTTAGTGAACATATTATATATGAGGATTTAAATGATATCATTGATATATAATATAAACATCATACTCGGTGAATATTTTAGTGGCTATCCGGATTCAATGACTCAATGGATACTCCGTTGGTGTTCAAAGTAAAAGAGATTGGATTCCAGTCTCTGTGTGAAAATCAATATAAGAATGGGAATCCATCCTGCTGATAAGTCCCAGTTACGACTAAACTTTCGTTCTGGATTCTAGTGCTAACCATAGTTCATCTATTCTATAAAACGTTTGCTGAACTTTTAATTCATAATAAGTTATGAATTGTTGCGATAAAGCTAGCTCTTCAAGTTGTCTGTCTTAACGGTTATTGGAATTCACTGGATTTTGTGCCATTTTACAGTAAAACGTACTAATATCATGTTGTCGTTTATCTTTAATCCCCTCCCATTGTATTAATCCCTAAATTTACCTATTTAATTCCTCATACACTTTAATGTATAGAGAAAATGTAATCCATATCTCAGCCAAAAACATTATGCTAGACACAGGAATAACTGTCAAAGTTCTCATATTTTATTTGAAGTTTGCATTTTTAAATTTGAATCGGTCTGCACTAAGAAGGATTTAACACACAAGACATTGATCACCACCCAGTGATCAATCAACTATAAAAATTAATGTTTTTGTGTAATTAACTAGTGATAAAATAATGACGCATTTGTAATATCCCAATAAATGGAAGGTAGATCGCTACTTCAGAAAATAAATAACCAAATTAGTCAGTTAGTCAGTCGCAACATATGAGCAGGCACTGAATTAAATTACTACACTATTTAAACTTGTGTTAATTTAATTCACTCATTAATTTTCTCACTGAAAGAGCACTCTTAGCCATGTTCTGTTATCTATATCATTAGGCTATGACAAATATATAATTATTTAGCATTTATCTAATACCAAGTTTGTCTTCCCAGTTAGTTGTTCAAAGGCATGCTCAAAATAGATCGTAATGATTGAAACAAAACATTTAGTACAATGAATAATTTTCTCTGTAGAAATTAGATAATTATTTATTTATACCTACGCTCAAAAGAATTATCAGCAATTATAAGCTTCTACTACAAAGAAAATCTGGCTACAGCATACACTTAGTTACCAGCTGGCTTTTCTGTACTGTATTTTGTAGATACATTCCAGTGACAGGTTGATTGTTGTTTTTTTTCAAAAAAAATAATCGAATCTCTTTTACCTATTTGTTGATCGGTTTCCTGAAGTTTTGGTGAATTTAAATTTATGCACAATTTTATACTTACGTAATTATCCCAATATGTAATTGTTTGTTCCGTTTTTGCATTTTTTTTTCCATTAGTTTGATGTCATAAACTAATTTATTTCATTTATATACACAGGTTTATGTTTTTATTTGACCTGATCTTCAGAATAGATGTTTGTGCTAATCGCAGATACTAATATTCAGTCGTTTGTTGCCGAGGTTACTATCATTATTGACTATATTATATCAATTTTATTCATTTCTTTTCGCGTTCTTTTTGTGGAGTATTATCTTTTCAGGCTTTTTTTCCCACTCTAAAAGTGATATATTTGTTGTGATGAATGTTTGTTTTTTAATTGCTGAATGAATCAGTGATTTCGCCAATCACGTAGTTTTTGTAGAGGATTATTCAAATGATAAACTTTATGTAGTTTTCCATTTATACACTAGTATTAATTATAAAATGTTACATCGTTGACCTTTATAGCTCCTAATTCATTACTCATAAGAATTAGTTGTGCTGATTACTAAGTAATCTCGAATTCAAATGTAGACTTTGTCACCTCTTTCCTAGTTTTCGTTTAATACTTGAGGATTATTACTTGTTTTCTGTGCATTTTTCCACCTTTTTTATTAAAGCCATTATCATAACAATTACTGACTATTTGTATAACATCTGTTGCATCTCTCATCATTCATCTTGTGTCATCCATTATATCTTACTTAACTTTGTTCTATTGACCGATGAACTTCATGAATAAATGTAACATAAAATGACAGAGACATCGAATTCAGATAATCAACAATAACTATGTAAGATAAGTTATCGTTTTTTCTTGTTTTGTAAATGAAATTAATAATTAGATAATTTTTTCAATATTTTAGATTTTAATTATCTTTAGATATACTTTCCAATTTCGTCTTAGGTATTTCGTACAATTTTTCTACTATTTTCAGTATTATTTTTATGTATTTTTCATCTTAAGTGGATACTGATATTTCTAGAAAACTACGTGAACGTGATTTTGCTATAGAAGAACTTATCAACACTGAATTAGCCTACAATAATAGTCTTATTGAAGTGAGAGATGTAAGTTTGTTCGAATTACTTTTTTTGTCTCTACATTTTATTTAAATGTTTGAAACTGATCATATTTATATTTAATTTGTGTAATATGTGGAACATCTAAGTTTACAAGTTTAGTCGATTTCACTTCAGAATTGAACATATCCTTTGTTGTAATTATGTAATCTAACTAATATATCATAAATAGTTAAATGTTAACTGAATGGTCATTGTCATGCGTCAACAATACTTTTCTGAATTTCAATACTGGTTTTTTGAAATTTTGCTGCAGCAAACTATTATGTGGTATATTTTTTTACATGTTAATATACACAATTGATATTAGTTGGTGTTAAAGCTAAATGAACTGGTATTCGTGATAAAATGTACATATGAATTAGTTTCAAAGCATCACTTTACCATTAAAAATTAATAAACACAGACTATATTTTGTTACACTGCTATTCATTTCTTTTTGTTCTTTAGTGAAAATCACGAGTAGCTTGTTAATTAATCAATGAATCAGTCGCATATTTCATAGTTATTTCACTGCATAAGTTAAATACGTTAAATGTCTATTAAGTCATATGTGCAATCCGCTTATAACACTTGATTTATTTTATCTTGGAATAAGACGATGTTATCGAACACAACACAAAGAACTATGTTCCATATTAGATTTTAAAAATAATGACTGATTTCAATAAAGCTGTACTTGTTTATTTACTTAATCATCAAAATAGTTGTGACAGTCTTGACCATGCAATTACAAGTAAACAATTGTTCATTGACTTTGATTTTTAATAACTTCACTGTTAATTATGAAATTTTCTCTATATTTATGGTTTACATTAGGTTTTCTATAAACCAATGAAAGCATCAAAAATGTTAACTTTGCAACAATTGGATGATATTTTCCCTCATTGGAATGAGTTGATCAATACTTCAACTGAATTTTGTCGGTAAGCTAAATAATTCAGTTTATTTATCAGTGATCCCTAGGGATCATTTACAGTATATTTCATATATATATATATATATATATATATATATATATATATATATTTCTTGTATTCACTGTCTTAATCTCATATGACTGTGCTAACGGGATACAAGACCTCGATGCTATATCCCCAGAAATCACTTAGTAAATTTTTCTTTTTTGTAATTTTACTTTGGAAATTTGGTGCGGAAATATACTTACGTCCTATTCACGTATTCTTGATTTGAATTATGTTGAAGTACTGTAGAATAGACACTGGGAGGGTATCCGAGCGTTATAACAGTTTTCCATGGACATTTTTGTACTGTATATATGCGCATGAGTTCTCTGTTTGTTTGTTCGTGCTTTCAATTGCTTGTGGAATATTCATTTCCCTCGACTGAATCTGATATTTTCCCTCTAGATAACAGAGCTGCGGGTCAGTGGGATAGCTTAGCTTGTCCTGTTGTTGTGTTGCTGTCTTTCACTCCGTTCGCCAGTTTTAGGAGATATCGTAACCCCTTCAAACATAGCAGAAACTTAACCACATCTTTCACTACTAACTCTGTTGATTACTATTGATCCGCTCCAGTAGTCATCACTTTTTATTTCCCAATGGATTAGAATAAATAAACTAATCTCAATACTTTTTATCAATCGTAAATGTTAATTATTAATTGCTTCGAAATACTTTAATTATCTATATCACTGTCCTGATATACATATATATGGAGAGAAACAGAGATAGATAGATAGATAGATAGATAGATAGATAGATAGATAGATAGATAGATAGATAGATAGATAGATAGATAGATAGATAGATAGATAGATAGATAGATAGATAGATAGATAGATAGATAGATAGATAGATAGATAGATAGATAGATAGATAGATAGATAGATAGATAGATAGATAGATAGATAGATAGATAGATAGATAGATAGATAGATAGATAGATAGATAGATAGATAGATAGATAGATAGATAGATAGATAGATAGATAGATAGATAGATAGATAGATAGATAGATAGATAGATAGATAGATAGATAGATAGATAGATAGATAGATAGATAGATAGATAGATAGATAGATAGATAGATAGATAGATAGATAGATAGATAGATAGATAGATAGATAGATAGATAGATAGATAGATAGATAGATAGATAGATAGATAGATAGATAGATAGATAGATAGATAGATAGATAGATAGATAGATAGATAGATAGATAGATAGATAGATAGATAGATAGATAGATAGATAGATAGATAGATAGATAGATAGATAGATAGATAGATAGATAGATAGATAGATAGATAGATAGATAGATAGATAGATAGATAGATAGATAGATAGATAGATAGATAGATAGATAGATAGATAGATAGATAGATAGATAGATAGATAGATAGATAGATAGATAGATAGATAGATAGATAGATAGATAGATAGATAGATAGATAGATAGATAGATAGATAGATAGATAGATAGGTAACTTTCTTATTTTAAATTAGTATCATATTAATATTGGAAGTAACAAAGAGAGATGTAAGTTTTATTTTTCTTCATATAATTAGTTCACTTTATAAATTTCAATCAAGTAGCACCAACGACAGTTGATTTTAATAATTCGAATTATCACTTATTCAATCATTGTACAAGAGAATGTAATCTGACTTTTCTCGGTTGTTATTCAAAAAATCGTTAATAGATCGATTGGTCAGAGACATTCGATCAATTCATAGTTGGCTTTTTTTTTTATCTGAACTTTCTTTTTTATGCTATTTGTTTAATTAGTTGTCATCGTAAAGGATCGTTTTCTTTTATCAATGAGATCATTTTTGTTATTATTTTGTTTGTTTCTTGTTTCTTAGTGATTTGAATGATTATGTTAAAAACGATTCATCTGATCAGTCGATTAGTCAAATCCTTTTAAAACATGTATGTAAGTGTTTTTTTTATTCCTTATTGTCAGTATTTCCCAGATTATCTTACCATTCTGATGTTGTCGATTCAGGAATATTAAAGCTTACTGAAATTAATCAATTGCCATCGAAATATATACGATCAAGAAATATTTTATCTAAGCTACCCTCATACAACTGGTACATTATCTCAAACTTGTAGCGTACAACTGTACAACATTAATAAAGAACGTCAGAAGTTGGCAGATAGCTAAAGCTTTTAATCATATCCCTTCAAATTCTGATGCATTATTGTCCCTGTCAACTTTCATGAAATGATAGCTACTCAATGAAAGAAATTAATCACCACTAAAAAATTAATTTTATGAGTACGTACGTAAAATAAAACAATTAATAAAAACGATCTTCAATCCTTCCATCTAGCAACAGTTCCTACTGATTTCTGTACGTTGATGGTCATTAGGATTCCCTGTAGTCTTTTATTCTGAAAATTATGCTTTATAACTGTTATTTTGCACTACAGGCATTATCTATGTTCTGTGCTTCTTTTTTTAACTGTATATCATGTCTCTAGATTATTTGAATTCCTGCAACGTTTTTATCTTAGTCATTGTCTTTGATTTATTTCATTTACATTGTAGATGATTAAATTTAAAGTCTATCGTCTATATTGTACGCAACAACGTGTTGCATGTGAAACTTTACAACATTGTCTATCATCTAATTATCGTTTAAATCAATTGGTAAAAATATTTGAAAAAAATACTAAAACCAAAGGTTTACCCCTGTCTTCATATCTGTTGAAACCAATGCAACGTATAACAAAATATAAATTAATCGTTGAAAAGGTATGTTTTATAATCATACATTATTAAAGAGTCATATACATAAATGTCACATCGAAATCTCTTAAATAATAAGCTAAAATGCTCATCAGAAATTATTAATTGCATGATTTATGTTTTCCTATTGTTGATGTTTACAAAATACGTAATCATTCTCTGTTGCCGCATAAACATTTTGAATGAATGTCTTGATGTTGTTTACTTACGTTTACAAGTTGACATTTTACGATAGTCGTTGACAGTGGAACTCGTTATTTGAAATGGCATGCATTTCAATATTGGTTTTATCACTGCGACTCGAAGTCAGCACCCATCTCTTAAGACTTCAGAGTTTTATTCTTATAGCTATCATTTAACCACCCTATATCCCAATAAAGATTCATCAACCCAATCCTGATTATAATGCCTTTTGGAATAGATATTCCCTATTCTCTAGTGTTTGAAGCAGTAGTAGTGCATTATTGGGATGCAAGTAAGCTCAGTGACGGGATTCCCAAAGAAGATCGAGATTATTCTCGAAATTCATCTTATGATTACTGTATGAAGGAATTATTGTGTTCATCGTCTCAATATGTGATAAGGTTACTGAGTTGTTAATCTTTTACTTGAATCATAGTATAGGTGTTGGTCGTATGATGGTTTTTGTCATGAATAAAGTTATGCATATTAAAAAGAGAATAATGTGGTAATTCTTCTGCCAAATATGACACTTTTACAACATACTTGTTTGTAAATCATTATGCATACCTTGTTGTTTCCACCAGTGCTTGTTAGATTAGGTCATTTCACTTTCAGAATATTTTACTTCAAATAGATCGATCATACTGATTTCAAATGATGAAATTATACATTATGGACCACCTGCTTACAAAGCTTTGCAAGATATGCACTTTTTGTAAATATATACGTACTAAGTATTGTTTTGTAGTCATGAAGGATGTCATTTCATACAACTTTACTCAAAATGAAAGTTTCAGTTGTTTAGCGTACGTCTGTGGATTTCATCCGTATGCATAGAAGTCTGGAGGATGCTTATTCATTAACCTCAAGACTTTACCATCGAAACCTTTATGGTTGATACTTTGACTTATGATGTGTTGTAAGTATGACAACAAAGGTTGATACGAAAAAGGAGATAACCACTAATGCAGTTTAAACTCAGTTTTATAGTTACTTCCGTTTTTCCTCTTCGTTTAACCCATCGTTATAATAAATTTTAATTATTTAACACTGTAATATGATTGTTTAAATTATGAATAATATGCTACAGAGTAACAAAAACGTAATATGTACAATAAGGAATGCCAGTCAAATTAATCGAATTTCTACATTAACGTTTTTTTCGTCTTGCATTTGTGTATTTTTTGCTATAGGTTTAATCTACTTTTGTAATATAACGTCGATATATGATGTGATTTAACTTCTATATCTAGTGTTGATTTCTTTTTAAATTAGATTGCAACAAATACGCCTATTTCATGTCCAGACTACGATGAAGTTGTTAAGGTGAATAATTTGATGTCTGCTCTTTTAAAGTCAATCGATCATGCAATTGGATCTAAAGATAACCCTAATCGTATCGACTGGTTCCGTTCACGGTTGATTGGTGCTGATAAATGGCTTTTAGATTGGTTATCCGATAATACAGCTCAACATCCTCATGACAGGCCATGTTTAGTTCATTGTGGTACACTTTATAAAGTAAGTTGTGATCTTTTTATTTTATTGCATGATTATAAATTGAAGAATTGTTATGTTCCTCTACGGCATTAGTATTCCGTTTCGACTTAATAAGATGTTTCTCATCATTATTTTGAAATAATTTCAAATTTCGGAGCATACTGCCTTGTACAAATTCATTTGATCTAAAGATCACTGCTTTTTAGCTTTATTCATTAAAAAACACCATACTAAAACAAAACGGCCGTCCAGTGCTTCAAGGTTTTCAATGGTGGTCTCGCTTTGATCAACTCATGAATTCAACCGTGAATAAAAACATCTGCTTTTGCTATTATATTTAAATATGCCACAGATAAACCAGTGTTCTGTTATTGTCTTTAATATTGTTTCTTAATATCCCTATCACAGTTACTTTCATTTATATATTCTTTGTGTTATTCATCATGTGTATGCTAGTGATTGACTTCAATTGCGCTGAAATTGTCTCCTGAGTCACCTTTTAGAGTAATTAAAGTGAAATCGTCCCCTTCACGTGCCGGATTATGTTATGATGTTTTCGCATGTTAATTTTCCGTTGTAAAACAAAATGTATATACTAAGTTAAATGACTCAACCTTCATTCTCATAAAAATCACTATGTTTAAGCAAAAATGTATTTTTTAACATAAATTTTCTATCATTTATTTTTCTCAGGCTAAAAACAATCGAGAATTTATTTGTTTCTTATTCAACAAGTATTTGATTTTAACTACACCAAATTATAATACTAATGGACGGTTATTTGAATTCCCGTCTACAAATCAATTGAATGAAATAAAATGGTCGTTTATATTATACAAAGAACCATTAGCATTGAATCAAGTGAGTAGTATCTGATTGGTTATAAGTATACTTTTTTACTTTCTACGAAAATAACTATGTGAATAAATTATTTATTAATCATAGTAAATCTCTTAGTGACAAGTATCAATAAGTAGTTTGCTTTGAATATAGGTGTATGTGAGTGTGTGTGTGTATACACTAACCAATGGTTTGTTTGTTATGAATATGCACAGCGAGATTTACGTAATGTATTTTAGTTTATAATACGGTCGATAAACAAATTAGTGAACGTGTGAAATATAACTTTTTTGATGCACACTTGACATTCTGTTCAAACATTTGGTTCATTTGTACTCTACTAAATATTACAAATAAATTACGTGTTTTAAATTCGAATAATTATGAATGTTAACTGTGTGTACTCACGAGTAATTATAAAAAGCCTAAAACCTATCTTGATCTTTATTGCTATGGAGCTCATTTGTAACTATTGATTTATCTTCTTTATTCTATATATGAATACATTAAAATTCATGTAGAATAAAAAGTAAAGTAGCCGAACTTGTAGAATACTTTCATCATTAAAAATGAACGGCAGAAATTGACTGTGGAAACCATTCTGAAAATAAATTGTTTATTTAACTGATTACAGGTTGAACTCATACTAACTAGAAATTCGTTATATTGAACGATTAGTGTTGAGATTTTTTTGTTTTAACAAGATTTATAGTAAGGAACTAACAAAGCCATTAATTATCGTCATTATAATTATTAAGATGGTTTTGGGCCAAACTTCGAATAGGTTTCAGATTTCTTCTTTCATCAAAAACTGACATCGTTACAAAAAACATATCAAAAGAACGAAGGGTGGACAACTATTTTCTAATTCTTACATCCTTATGTATCAGATCGAATCCAAGTCTGGCAACAATTTGAAACCCAACACTTCACTTTTCTCAATTTTCTGTGATCTCTGTTATTTATATATAAAATTTTAATATTTTTTCAGTTGTTTACCGGATGATCGGTGAGTAACTAAGCAGGGGGAATGAGGATTTCGAAACGGATTACCAAAGTTGGGGATTATTGGTTGTTTTGTGGCATTCACTTGTTGTTATCTGATAAGTTATTTTATCTGGGTTAAACGTTTATGCTCAGATTCATGCTTTAACTCTTTAGATCATGTATTAAATCATTTAGTCCTTAAAATCTGTCGGTTGTGAATTGAGGGTTAGTTCAGTGAGTAAATATTCTGTGCAGTCATCCCAGTCATTGCTTTATTTTATAGTCTATTGTGTAGTTGTAACAACTAACGATCTTTCACTTCTGTCTTTCGTAACAACAGTGAATTATTCGCTACATTGTGTTAAATATTTTGACGATACTGACTCAAGCATATGTAAATAGAAGTGTTCACCATAGGGTCGATTAGGGATTTAGAGTTATTTTAAAAAGTAGAAGTTCGAGTTGTCATGATAAAATATTATTTACTTGATACTTTACGTATTGCGATTTTTAGTTTTTAGAAAATAAGTTACATAAATGTATACTATACTTCACTTCATCAACACTTCCCGTTTGAGGTTAAATTAAACAAACATGATATAAGAGTGTATTTTCGGGCTTGTGACATCATAAGATCAGCGTTAGTGAAAATTAACGATAGCCATTCAAAGGACGAAGAACAACAGAATGTCTATAAAATCAACTGTCATGATTGTAATATAGCTTATGTGGGAGAAATTCCAATACGATTGGATGTGAGGTTGAAAGAACACAAACAATGTTTGAAAAATGTTCCTAAATCCTCGGTTGATCTGAACAAACTTGGGAATAGGTCGGTGATAAGGTTACATGAGTTAGAAATAGGACACAATATCAGTTTTTAAGGGACCAAAACACTTCAGAAAGGTTTTGGCACACATAAAGAAAGATTGATAACAGAAGGCATGTATATATATGCTAATAAGAACAGTCTGAATAGAAAAGATATTATTCAACTAGCAACTACTTGACAAATGTCATCAACGTGTATTTGGGCCTTTTATATATCCTTTTTGTTTATTTTATATGCATCGTTATTCTGACAGAAATTAATGTGGGTTATTGTAGCAATACAATTATGTATTTGATGATTCTCATTTTACACGCACATCGACAATTCAGAAACAATTTCAACCTTCAAAATGAACTCGTATTGTCACTTCATGTAAAAACAAATTAACACCTAATATCAACTATTAAATAACTCAAGCTTACATATACACACATGATTCTTTCATTCATTTATCTTTACAATGTGAACTTTTCACATTATCCTCATATAACTGACTCATATTTTCCTATTTACTAAAGTCAACATCTAAATATAATTGGATTATCACGGTAAATATTTGGTTTGATTGTTAAGCATTACATATTTCTTTGGTAATTTTTATTTTTATTATCACTCTGAAGAAGTCCAGACAAGTTTGTAGAATGAATCGAAATTGGTTAAATCTCAATCACTGAGATTATTTCAAATATAATTTTCACATTTAATAGCTTCTCTATACTCTGCGCCCAATTTTTGTCAAACTATTCGTTCTAATATTGACGAATATTCGTATCTTGTTATTTTAGAAACAGTTTAGCATTTATTTTCAATGCATTCGTCTTTAATTAAACGTTTATTATTGTAATTCGTTTAGATATATGTATTTAAAGGTTCATTTAGACAAAGCACTGAATCAACATCTTCAGTTTTTAGTAGTTATTCAATAACACCTCAATCAGCACCATACAACAAATCTACAAATGATGAACTTGTACGATCAGTATCCACTTCTACATTAGCTGAATCAATTGAAAATCCCAATATTAATATTAGACGTCAATCTGAAATTGTAAAATATTCAACGACAAATGTATTCTCATTATTTAAACGAAGAAATTCTTGGCAACCTATAGTAACTTTAAAGGCTCCATCGAATGAAATTTGGTAATTTTATAACTTTTATTTAGTTTATACACTGTGCTGTTATGTTTTGATGGTAGCCAGTCGGAAACATCGGACTCGGATCATATTTTCATTAAGTTTTTTTTGTCAAGTGTATGTGTAACTTATGAGGTCATTTTATATTAACCTTGGTCATCAAGTCTTAATTCTTACCAGATCAGTAAACTCTTAACATCTGAAATCGTTGTAATCTCAGTAAGATAAATTTTATGGTCTAAAATGTTTTACTCCTGAGGTTTCAACACTGGTGTCATTTCGTAGTTTTACATCACGGACTTTTAACAACCATTGTAAACCAGGAATCACTAGACAACTGTTTTGTCGTAATGTGGGACTCCTCTAGAGTTGTATATTCATGATCCTGAAAGGGAGGACCTTCAGGCTTCACACATCATAACTGCTTAACTGAATTGACATCCGATGGTTTACGTCTTTAACTTGAATCTGCTAGGGATATTTTTTGTCCATTACTCGTTAATTGGTGAAATTTGTACAGACCTGATACTAATGAACACCAATTGTCATAGTTTCTCACCTCTTGAAAATTGTTCCCTAGTAAGTGTATAAGGATATTTCAGTATAGATGGTTGTGCAGATGTTTAGACTTTGTAGCTTTACATTATGAACCGATTTTACTTAGATTATTTCGAAAGTTTACTGAAGTTAAAGATGTCAACTGGAAATGACAGCATGTCCAACAGATCAGTAATGATATTAACCTAAATACAGAATTAGTAAATTATCTTTGTTTACGCGCGTGTACAAACATCCTCTTATTATTTCTTTTTTGCATATAAATCACATAGTGATCTTTGGGTATTAATTTTGAGAGATCAAATTAAAGCTGAAAGCAATCTGTCTAATTCACATTCTTCTTATTCACCATGTAAGTTAAATCTTCTATATGGCTTTTTTTAATATTACGTAACATAATTACTAGCTTTAACACATCCAACGTAGTCATTTAAACACACTCTTTTTCTCACTTTCGCGAATCTCAGTTTGTCCAACAAGTGTTAGAACAATTTTTCGTTGACATATTCCGTCATGTATTGGATTGTTTTGCTGAACTTAAAATTTGTTTCGTTTTCATCATTATTCTACATAACTCGTTCTAAACTATCAAGTACAAATTCGTCTACTTGGCCTCCGTCACACTCTAATTATGTGATCTAGGGATAATGCTTTGTTCCCCAACCTAAAGTAGTTAGACTAACTTTGACCACCTCCATCACATAAAACCCCCATCATTTTTAATCACTAAGACCTAATTAGTATCATTAACACAAGCTGTCTCTGTGTTATTCAATGGAGTTAAATATGTTCGACTATATCAAGATCGAATACTAATGAAGTTTACGAACCTCAGGACTCGAATCCCAATAAGTTAACATTTATTTCCGTTGGAACCTTACACATCAAACAGATATTCATTTCAAAGTCTGTTGAAAATTTGGCACTGAATTTTCCGTTTCTGATTAAAGAAAATAGTACACATATTAAGTCATATTGTGGTGAAAATTAATAGCTTATGAAATTTAAAACCATAATTCGTTATAGATATTCATACTTGTTCAATGTTGATATTCAAGATTATTTTTCTACCCCCATTTACTTGTATTTCCTTTCTGACATTCAAAACTATGGTCATATTCCTTATTTTGGTCAAATAAATGATTAGTTATTTTCTGGTCAACTTCGTCAATTAATCTGTTTCTTTTCACGATTCAGATCTAATTTTAGAAACAATGTAAAATACATACTTCGCGTCCATTTGTTGCGTAGGTGTTAGTCAATAATATATTGAATAAATAAATTGATAGACATGTCAACTTAATATACATAAGTAAACCAAATAATTTTCATTGGCTGTCACCTATGTGACAGTTTGTAGCTGACGCTATCTGTCGCATTCTCATCGTTATAATAATGTTTTATGTCCAGCACTTTCGTCCGTTTTTCCCCTGCCAAGTGAGTGACTCATGCATATCAGAGTATAGTTTTCATTAGTGATTTCATTTCAAGCTCTAGTTTTCAATCGGTTTGTATGTGTTGATTCTGGATTTTCGGCTACGTTATACTGACATATCTTAGCAGACAACTGTACATGACTCCAGACGCTTAAAATGAAATCTTTGATGTAATTATATTTTAGTATCTAGTACCCATCCCTTAAACGAATGGGAAAATCACTGAAAACGCCTCGTATAACATATTACCTCATCATTGAAAGCGTGACGGATAACGTCATACTAATCTGTTTGACTGTTCATTGAGATCTGGATCAATCCTATGCTGTGTTCAAATTGTTCTATTCGAAAATCAGGCAGATATTTCGAACGTACTATCTATATCTAACCCTAACATTACTAATATTAATAATAGTAGTGATATTAATCTAGTAAATTGAATAGTATACCTCATCTTGATTAACTCTAGACTTGATTAACTTTCCCACCACCATTAGACAATCCGAACCCACCTATAATTTTTTGTTTCCTTGCTAACATTTATTCTCTAAATACTGAGTTATCCTCATTTTTGATGTTTTCTTTTTCTTTTACACTTTTATTTAAAGCATTGAAAAACGAATACCCACAACATTTACTGTTTACGGTTTCAAAAGTTTGCACTAACTCACAAGGTATTTCATAATGTTTATGAAGAGTAATCCGATATTTTTCAAATAAGCCCTTTCCAATAATCACTGTTCCACTACATTGTCTTCTCCCAATTACCCAGCTGGTATAACCCATAACTGTTTTTTTGCTTGTAATTTGCGCGGTATTTGCGATATTTCTAGAAGATGTAATGTAGCTTAACAATCTATGCTGTGTCTGACTAGTGAGGGAAGACAGATAGCACATCTGATGCATCATGTATTTTTGACTAAATTTATATTTTAAATTACTTCATCCAGGTTTGTATTTGTACTAATCTTGGTTAAACAGTCGAACAAGTGTCCGCGGCCACGTGATTTAGCTTTCCTAAGTTATGACAGGATGGTTTATCAACTAAGGTTATTTCAGCATTCGACGTTCATGGCAAATCAGGATATCTATCTAATCTTATTTCGAATACATTACAATTTATTATTCGCTCGACTATTTTCTAAATTTGAATTTGTATAGTACTATTTTCTTGATGTAGACTTGAAGATGTGTGAAGTTTACTGATCTTATTGACACTCATTTGTATTCTTGGTAATTAGCCCCCAAATGCCCTGGTACGGCCGAGAGTGGGGAGAGTCCGCTCTCCTTCTCGTAATGCTCTCACATGGCCACGCGTATATAGCCTCTGCCAGGGAAGTCCTACTCACTGCCTTCTCGTGGCGGGGATGTTGTTTACAAAAATGAGAGGACAAAAAGCGAATGTCCGGCGCTTTAACCGGATTCCAAACCAATGGTGCACATGGGCTCCAGTATCCTGTAGGAACGAATGGCGTATGGACCAATTGTTGGTCACTGGCTTCCATGGGACTGCATCTCCTTACGATGCTCCACTGCCTTGTGGATCAGACCTTCAGGTTGAAGGCTCGGGGATCGGCCCCCTAAGATAACCACCTGCTTCGGTTTGGGCACCCGGGCAGTATCACTGCCCTCACACATATCGAATGAGATTTGTGTGGCGCATATGTATTTGGTGCCTCCTTGTACCAATATTTATGTGTTAAAATAAATCAATAAATAATCTTGGTAATTATCACTTATAAACTATTAAACCGCATGCTCTAAATTAAAAAATACACTAACTCAGTCTTTGAAGCTTTAGATCTAGACACTCAAATAATTTGTTCTTACCAAAACAAAAAGTATGTGAAGCACATTTACAAAATACAAACCCCTTGGGATGTCTCTTTGTAGATTATCACAGTTGCTGAGATCTCAGAATCTAGTTAGCAAAAGAAATGTCCAATATGTATCAAATCTTGTTTTATAAAAAACCAAAGCACACATTTTGGCAACTTAATACCATTGTAGATATCCACTTATCTATTTGTTAATTATAACTATTGAACTTCTTTATTTTCATCTGAATTAATTGTCGCTGAATTAAATGCACTCTATGAGCTACTGTACATTTTTTTGTTTTAAAAAATAAATAACCCTAAATATTATTCATATTTTGTTTTGTTACACCCCTTTTTCATTTTATTTCAGTTTGTTTTACGTACAGTTTAAAAATGTTGTTGCCACATAGAAGACTATCCATCATTTTATCACTTCAATAATTCATTAAACAAAACACTTCTTTTGTCTTATTAATAATTTAGATACATATATTATGTTAGTCTGTTTTTTTTTCTACATTTATTTCATTTCAGACCAATTTGAAGTTCACTTCAAGATCAGTATTACTGATCAAATGTGGAAATTTTGTCAAATATTTGCTAATCAATCATTAATAGAATTTAAAACTTCTGAAACGTTAAATTTTCTGATACCAGAATCTTTAGAAAAGTGTTTACATATCACTGCTTTCAAATCGTTACCATTTACTAATTCAAGTAGGTGGTTTTGTTTTGCTGTTCTGTATGCTAATCAATATGTGTAGTCACACATCACATATTATTATTTAATCAAAACTTTTATTGTGTGGTAAAATAAGGCTCTTTTCATGTCATTTCAATGGAATTTTTAGTTACTACTTTTTACTGCTTTTATAAGTTGGTAGTTGCTTAAGTGAGTAGTTTATCAGTTAAGGAGTTTAACTTTTAATAACAATAATAATTTATATTCTGAAAATAATAATTACAGAATTCACGCCAGTTTACAGGCATGATCAATTTGATATAAACAGTAACGTTAGACGTGCAGAACAAACATGTGATAAAAGAAAGTTTTAAGTATACTAGTTCAGTAGTTGTTTAAGCAGTACATATATTACAGCGATCCAATGCATCAGCCGGGAATTTTTAATATTTCTTAAATGGACAGCCTGTTGATTTATTAACGGAGAAAATAAAATGAAAACACAGAGCACGGAAAAACAAAGCAATAATTACCAAAATATATGAATCAGGTCTACCTAAATGCGTGTGTCATATAACACGGTGATATACTGTTTATGTTATTCAAATTAGTTAAACTTGCTAGGGGCGGTGTTAACATATTGACAGCAAGTGGGTGGTTTTACTTAGGGGATTCACTAATAAAGATGGCTAAACATTTAAAGTTCCTAAAATATCACTTGTGGAATGAGATACACTTGCAGGTGCTAGACCATTCAATGCATTTTGAGAGGAGCAGTATGCAGCGAACAAATAATGGGAGTGATTTTATCGTGCGGATAGATTGTGGTAGGTTATTCCAGAGTCTAGAAAATTTACAGGTGAAGTAATTCATATAAAGAGATGATTTAGAATGAGTTTGTTTCACTAGTGCCAAGGAATTACGGATGTCATAATGAGAAGTTTCTGCATATTGAATCGCGTGATTGGATGTAAACGATAGTTTATGAAGTAGTTTGAAGAAAAAGATAAGATTTAGTTTGAGTCTCCTCCATAAAGGGTCTAGCCCAAGTTTATTACATCTAGAATTATAAGTTAAGGTACAATCAGCTCCAAGAATACGAAGTGTAAATCGTCTCTGTACTGATTCCAGCCTTAATTTATCCTTTATGAGCGCACTGCTAAGAATAAACGTGCAATATTCTAGAAGAGGTCGAGCACAAACTTTGTAGTCACGTATTCTAATGTAAAGATTTCGAGTTATGTAACCTATTAGACGTTGAGACTTAGAGGTCTGTTTTAATATATGTTCTGTAAACGACAAGTCTTGGGAATATCTAAGTCCTAAGTCTACTACTGTATGTAACCTAGATAACACTTCTCCATTTATGGTAATGTCTAGGTTGAGTGATGTATCGCCGAAGCATATCCATCCACATTTAGCCGTATTAAGCTCCAGTTGCCATTTTAAGCACCACTGTGCTACCTTGTTAAGCTCCATGCTGATGCAATTTTGCATATTTTTCAGCTCATGTGGAGAAAATGAATATACTACTTTAAGATCATCTGCATATAGAAGGGGCTTACCGACACAAAAACTTTCACAAATATCATTGATAAACACTAAAAAGAGCAAAGGACCTAAGACACTACCTTGTATTACACCACTTCTAACAGGGACAGCGTTAGACAATGAAGAGTTAATTTTAACTATTTGATGTCGATTGCTGAGAAAGGAATCAAGCCAAGCAAGCAAAGGATTTTGAACCCCATAAGATGCGAGCTTACCTATAAGAAGTTGGTGGCTAACCATGTCAAAGGCTTTAGAAATGTCCAGATATAGCACTAAGACTAGATATCCTTGGCTACGTAGAGAATAGACTAAATTAAAGAAGTCAAAATGACATGTCATGCAAGAACGATTTTTAAGAAATCCATGTTGAGTATCATTGATAAATTTTCCAGCAAGTAAATAGTTGGAAAGTTCATCACTTATAATTTTTTCCATAATCCTAGAAATAACTGGAGTAATATTTATTGGCCGGTAATTGTTCATGTCAGTCTTATCTCCAGATTTGTAACGTGGTATGATGTACGCGGTTTTCCAACAGTAAGGGTAAGAACCGGTTTCCATAGAGAGAGTAAACAGCTTTAGAAGAAGAAGTGGAATATCTGGACCACCATATTTGTAGAGAAATGATGAAATCCCGTCTACTCCATGACCTTTCGAAAGCTTAAGGGTATTTATAGCCTTATTAATTTTCATGCATGTGAAGGAGATAGATTTTATTGAGTTGCTAGTCACGCACATAACTCTTGAAGCATAGCCACTTATGTTTTCTACACCATTCGCAAAAATACTACTGAAAAGGTCGGCCATGGTTTTAGAGTCGTATATAAAAGTGCTATTATGCTGGATGCACGGTATATCAACATTTCGAGTTGCTTTAGTGCGTTTATTGAAAAGGAGAGTTAAGTTTTGTACTTTCGAGTTAGTATTAAGGGCTAACAGCTCCTCATTAATGGCTTTTAACCTATGTTTCTCTTTAATTTGATTAAAAATTATTGTTATTTGTGCAACTGCTGTGAAGTCGTTTGACTTAAAATAACGATTCTGTAGGCGTTTTAGTTTATTACGATATTTAGCTGGTATATATAATTCGTAAGGTTTACTAAACCTGTACGTTTTAAGAGGTACACTGGAATCTAAACAAGAGTTAATGATCAGATAGAATTCGTCGATAGCATCCATGAGACTATTACATGAAAAAAAGTTATCCCAGTCTGAAAGTTTAATCAATGAATGCAGGAGGTCCCAGTCAGCATGCTTATAGTCTCTATATTGACAGGTTTTTTGAATGGGTGGGTTATAAGAGAGATAGATAGGGAGAGCGCAAACTACTATCTTATGGTCACTGCTTTCAAATTCATCATATACTTTTACAGATAGTGGGATAACATCTCTACTAAATATTAGATCGAGTATACTATCGCCTCTAGTTGGGGCACGAACCCACTGTGACCAGCAGTGCATGTTAATGGTTGCCGAGAACTCATCATTACATGACTGACAACTACCGGTACTCCAGTTGATCCCAGGATAATTGAAATCCCCAGTGATAACCTTAGCATTAAAGTTTAGAGAAGATGCATGTATGAATGCATTGATAATAAGATCATTCCCATTATTCGAACTATCAGGAGCTCTGTATATACATCCAAGGAGTAGACTATGATTCAGGGTGTTGACTGATATCCAGACTGATTCTGGTAAACTATTCAGGACACTATCTTCAACTTTATTAGTTGTTAGGGTATCCAAAGCATATATAATACAACCACCTCCTCGCTTAGTTTCTCTGTCGCAGCGATAGAGTCGATAGTTCTGGATATTTAATTCTGAATTAGATACTGCTTGAGAGCACCATGTTTCAGTGATAAGTATGAAAGAAGGTTTGGCTAGAAAAGCTAATGTTCTCAAGGCTGAAATTTTGTTCAGAAGTGAACGTGCATTGATAAGTAATAAGTTTAAAAAGGGAGTGTGGAGTGTAAAAAAACCGAGAGCTTCCCTATTGATGTTATGTATTTTGGATTTGCATAGACTGTGGTTTATTATGTTTGACTGATCGTATGGGCTATCGCTTGAACAAACTGTATTGCTAGTGGGACCAGGGATTTCTGAAGGCCAAAAAAACATTATTTTGATAAAGTGGATTAATTTGTTGAACTTGACTAAGCGGACAGTTAAGACAGGCACCTGCCAGTTGGGGTTGGGTTGATGGTGAGTAACCTAGTAATCCATCTTGCCCAATGGGAAAGTGTTGAGGAAAGTTACGTCTTACAGGTATGTTATTTAAAACGTTTGAGGATAACCGTAGGGTGCGTTGGTTCATTGTGGTCTGTCCAATATTAGGCCTGCTTACATAATGATTGCAGTGGCCATCTTGTGAGACATTTGAATCAAGTCTGCCCTTATAACCTCCCCTACGATGCGTAAGGTAAAGCATAGTGTCGGGAAGTACAGTCTTATTTTTATTTGGTAGGGTCATCGTAATATTTTTGATATTGGGTCTAGAACCAGAAGGTTCTGTACTTACATTCTTACGTGGCATAGGTTTTTTAGTCTTGACAGTGTTTTTAAGAGTTGTAGCATTAGAACTAAGTACTTGCTTATGGGCTTCTAATGGTAAACTGGGTAATATCGGATTAGTGACGTCATTAGATGTACATTGGCTATCAGATGTCACTGCAGACATAACAGGCAAATTAGCACTCTTCGTTGGTATATCAGAGTACTGGAGAACATGAGATAGGGTAGCTGCATCAGTGGATCCAGCAGCTGATGCATCGTGGTTTGTTGTGATCTCAACACCTTTATTTTCGTTCAAGGTATGTTTTTGCGTAAGCCTTTGATTGGTGGTCTTATCTGAGACTATACGAGCGTTTCTAAATTTCGTAAGCGCGCAGATTAGCCGCTCGGATTCTTTTAACTGTTCAGCCAATATATGAAAGTCGAATCTGAACAAGACCGGGCACGAGTATTTCAGGTGCTTTCTATTAGGTCGAATGCATTGGCATGGACTGTCTTGAAGGTTAGATGCTTTTAATATCGAATTCCTTACAGTTTTAATGGGGATTCTGTCAGGTATATTATAGACAATCACGTTATTACGAGAGACTATTCGCTTGGTAACTTCATTAGCGATGAAGTCGATAACAGATTCTGCTTTTATGATGTCATCAAGTTCCGCAGGAACGATATCTTTTGACAGAAGCAGCTTATGGGGTGATAATGTCTTTATTTCTTGTTTCAGATCATCATGCTTTGATAAAGAGCTAGCAAGTGACTCAACTTTAGAACGCATGTCGTATTTAATTCACTCTTAATATTATCGACGCTTTTTGATCTTGAGGTGGAACTCATTAAATTAGAGACAGAGTCATCCAGCAGCAGGTGTGGTGTAAGACCACTCCCAACATTATCAGCCTCAAAAGGAGTAGCAGAGCATGGGGAATAGGTAATAACAGAATTGTTATTATCTGAAGTATTAGGGCTTTTCCGGGCCCGTTTTCTTGACAGTCGACCCATACTGCTTTAAGTATAGATTTTAAAGCTATTTATGAGATATAAACTAGGATTCAACGGTATTCAAACAATAGAAAACGTGTTATTGTAACGCAAACTTCAAACGTACCGCGGGAGTTACTCAGTTACGGGCTCAAACCCTACCACATGTGCTTTGGTTCCGCGAACTGAATAGTATCACTGGTCCTCACACTCAAAACTAGTCTATACCTGACTGGTAAATAATTTAAAGTTTATTGAGATTTTTTGATAGGTAGATTGATAGAACAAATAACTTCTATCAGTTAATAAATCCATGACTTCCCGTTTTTTTTATTCGTTTGCTAAATATGAGGTTATCCAATTATACATTAACACTTATTTACATATGCATTTGTGTTATGTGTTGTTTTGACAAATTTCTTTCCTTATGTAACCGGTACTGACCGCATTTTTATTGTTCCACATCTTATATCAATATCTTCAACCTTCTTTGGTTTAAAATTAATAACTTTGATTTTCAATGTAATTGACGTTGATTAACATCACTGAATTAAGCATTTTAGTGCAACTGTTTGGAAATACATATTTTAAGAATTCGTAACAAAAACCGAATGTAGAATTTTATCTGGCTGGTTTACACATTTTATAATTGCACCTAGCGCGTATAATATCATTAGCTCACAAATTTATACTTAGTTGTTGAGTTATTTCTCCAAATCATATAGAGACAGTATTAATCTACAAACTCATTAACTCATGGACTAAGTCATATAAACTTCTTGATTAAAATCTGTACAATATTCTTGATCAGTCAGTATAGACATTTCTCAAAGTCAGTCCCAGAAGGCCGTATACATTCATCCTTTGTGTTCTTTTAGATATTCAATCTCAACATAATATCGTAATTTGTATCCCACGAATTCATTCCCTCTGTGCAAATCATATTCTCATATATTTAATCTTTTTTTCTTGATTACTGGCACAATACACAATTATGCCGACCTCTTTTGTCTATGCGCCTTATTGATGTCATCTCGCTGTGTTGAGCCAATGCACAAATTTACCCTGAGTCCTATGCTGTTTTAACTAATTACATTTTCAATATAATTTATGTATGTAATAGTACTATTATAAATATCTATATTTTTTAATATATGTTCATTTATTCTATGGACACTTTATAAAGCATCATTGTATTAATTTAATCTTACTCTCTCTATATCACTATTTAGATATAATTGGATCGTGTATTGTACCATTTTCAAATATATTCATTAATTTTCCACCAACTTCAATTGAATCATTTACTAAACAAATTGAATTGAATCAGTCTATGGATATGAAAATGGAATTCATTATAGAACTTACTGTTTAACATTGTCAGTGATGATCATGATAATAATAATGATGGGATAATTAGTAAGAATAATAATATATTAATCAAATCCAATTCCAAGTAGAATGCTATTTACTTTCTTACTCTCATAATTATATGACATATTATCGTTAAGTTTTATTTTATTCCGAAGGGGCTAAACATAAATTATCAATTTGATTTTTATCGATCTCTTCTACATATGGTTCTTGATAATTTTATAGATGTACTCTTTTTCTCATCATTGACTCATTTACATAAACCTTCATTGATTGATATACCTACATGTACATTGTGCTTAATGTTCATACTGTTTCCCATTTTTTTACAAATTTACTCCATATTTTAATAATTCAATGTACAAAATTAAGATCTCCTTTTAACTTCATCTGTTTGTTCGCTTTCTTTTGTAATTTATGATGATCTTAAATTTTTGTCAATAAAATTTTCCCAGTGATTCTTTTATCTTTTATCTCCCTAATTTTAATGAAAGCTGTTTGTTATTGATTGTCCAAATTACCAAGTCAAGGTGGTCGAGACAATGGTCACTACTAAGTCGTCGATCAATTGTAAACGATATACACTAATCAAGTATTTTTAATTTTTGAATACCGCACATACTAGTGTCCTCTTTATCGTTGCAAAGTGTTATTATAGCATGATTCCATTGCATTCTGATATTGTCTCCTCGAAGTTGTTCTCTGAAAAAGCGACTATTATGTCCTGGTTTACTACTCATTTGAAGATGCTTTATTTTTTGTTGCCTTAGAGCAATGGGCTAATAGTTTAGTAACTTATCTTTCAACCACTTTTTTTACCGTATATTTGACTTAGCTTTGCATGTCAGGTTTTAGCAATCACTTTGCGCTATTAAAAAACAAATAGTATTATTTAAAGCCGATTATATTATAGCTTTACCTCATTACTATCATACCTTATTATTATTTACTGATATTTCTGTTTGAAAAATAGGCGAATAAACTACGCAGCCTCACTAACTGAGCATACATATGTGAAGCTACTTAGAAGACTTGTTAATTTTTATTCAGTATTTTATTAAAATTCTATATGAAATATCAAGTATATGAGGAAAATTCAACTGTGTTATTCGTCTTTCAATATTTAAATAGCATTTAGTACCCCAAGTCCATGTCTTTTTTTATTTGCTTGTTTTTCAGGATCCCGCAATCGTAAAGAAGCTCAATTTAGCTCCAGATATCAGAGATGATTATGCTGAATTATTTCAAATTACACTATGGACTAGCATAGCATTGATTCTAGTTGTATGGGGCGTTTCTTGGGGTATCTGGAATATGGATCCTGGACGAGATGGGATTATCTATCGAGGTACAATGACAAGACCTAAACAAGATTAAACATTTCCTTTCTGTATCACAGATAAAATACATAATCTTCCTAACATACAACTCAGCATAATTTAACTATTTATCGAGTGTTTCCAAGGGTTTTGTTTGATTTTTTTTAAACATTATTGAAATCTTTCGTTGTTGTGTTTTATAATGTTAAAAAAAACATATTTATAAATCCACAATGTCTTATTTGTCTGTAACGTTTTAATATTCGCTGAAATTTCTTTTATTATTTAATTTAAGTAAAGGTATGATTGATAAAAGTATCTAGTGTTTTCCTTCCAAATTGTTCCTGAGTTGTTTACTTAACTTTGTTGATTGTTGTAATGTACAATATATGATATAAATATTGCATAAAAACTAACTGTTCTTTCGTTCATTATCAATATGACCAAATATGTTTATCCTGATTAGAACATCAAATCTGTCGAAGTTTACAGCTCAGTTTCCAGTACTCCTAAAATCAAAACTATATCACATTTGTCTGATTAACATTAAAAATCTCCAATTATTTTATGTTAAGATTAAAAGAATATTCTTCATATACCGGATTTAGGATACTCTTGCTAAATTAAAAAACACATACATAGTAATCAAGGGAAATTAACCACATTGATATACAATACTGAATATTTAGTAATACAAAAGAACTCAAACATTCTTTTTTGCTTTGTCTGTTTCACTCCAACATGTTTTTCCCTTGTTCTGTTATTCTCAAGAGCTTATATTGTCTAGCGGTTTGGTATGACTTTCGAATCTGCATTCCTTCGGAATATAACTGTAAATCAGATTAAACAATTTTTATCTATCCTGGCCCTATTTTTAAGTATTATAAGAATAAAAGAAATGAAACATGTTTCTTTTTGTGAGATGCCCCCGAATTCCCTGGTACGGGGGAGAGTCCGCTCTCCCTCTCAAAATGCTCTCACATGGCTACGCGTATATAGTCTTTGCCAGGGAAGTCCTACTCACTGCCTTCCCGTGGCAGGGGTGTTGTTTGCAAAATTGAGATGGCGAAAAGCGAATTTCCGGCGCTCTATCGGGGTTAGTGGACTCCACCTAGGGGGGTTGAAAACCCTGATTCCAAACCAATGGTGCATATGGGCTCCAGTATCCTGCGGGAACAAATGGCGTATGAACCAATCGTTGGTCACCGGCTACCATGGGACTTCATCTCCTTACGATGCTCCACTGCCTTGTGGATCAGACCTTTAGGTCGAAGGCCCCGGGTGTCCTTCCCCCCCAAGAAAACTACCTGCTTCGGTCTGGGCACCCGGGCAGTATCACAGCCCTCACACAAATCAAGTGAGATTTGTGTGGCGCATATATATCTAGCGCCTCCTTTTACCAGAATTTATGTGTTCAAATCACTTTGGTAAGATCAGTATTTCGATCACCGTCATTATGAGAGTATTGTTTTCTAGTACGTAATAAACATGCTTTTAAGTGCCTACTTTACAAGTTGTATTTCATTGACTGTAAAAAATTTAACTAGGAACTATTAGGTTATTAATTAACAAAGACTGAGTGTATATTCAACTCAGTCTAATTTATCGCTTTAACAATATTTGCATTTACAAAATTTGCTGGGCTATGTGACGGTGCTATACCAATTTTTCTCTACTAAAATGGTAAGCAACAATTTATCGGATGTATGAATCAGCTACGTGAAAGTCCTTCATGTTAAACTCACTAAATGAGGTCAAACGTTTTTCACCAAATTACCATCTAGAGTGCTTATTTTCATATGACATGTGTTCTTAGGATGTCAACTATAAACTGGAAATTTAACTGTCAAGTAGAATAGGCAATTTTATGCCACAAGTTACTTAACAACAAAGTATTTCCTATTGTAATATCGAAAATACTCAGTATGAATCTCGGCCAACTAATGATTATCTATATTCTTAAATTAAAGGTCGACCCTCTAATTATCACGTCCTAAATAAATCAACCCAATCATGAGTCAGCGAAAATCGAAACAATCTCCTAACACGTATGCATAATTATTACTCTTCGTTCATTCATCATATTGAATTGTAGGTCTCCAGTTTATTGTCAACTATCAGGTTTGCCTAATTTTTATCAACTATGTTTCTAAATCGATATACAACTTGACAAGTGAGGTTACAATAGTGATAATCATTATCCGATTTGGGGTTTTGTGCCGATTGTTGTAAGTTAATAATTGAATTCATGAGTCGAATAAAGCCAGACCGCCTCTACGACAGACACGGTTGGACTAACACCGTTGAATGACGGCTCAGTGGTCTAAAGGTTAAGCGTTCCCGTTTGGAGGTCGTGGACGCGCGCTGCTGAGTCCCATACTAGGTTTCCCATGGTGACCTAGCCTTAATTGACTCATGAATTCAACTACTAAATGATAATTATACCAGACACCAAAGCCTTTCATCATATGATATTTGATTATTGATAGCCACATTATCGATGAACGATTGGTGATTTTCTGCCTTCAACATAGCTTCTTGATTAGTTAACTAAAATAACCTTGTAACACATTTAATGTAAAACAAGTCTTTGTTCTATAACTAAAACGTACATTTTAAACGTCTCGCGTTCATAAACTAGTGTGTGGTTAGTATTTTGCAATGTGTGACGATAATGGTGAGACAGTCTGAACAGTTTCTGAAATAAATATCCGAAATTGTAAACATTGATTTTGTCTGGATAACTTAAATATAAATACATGTTGTTTGTTTTACTATTTGTTGTTTTTTACTATTCCAACCATACGATGTAGGTTATAAACGATTGGTTTGTAAAATACAGAATTAAACATATACAATCAAAACTCACAATAAAACACTAACATCCTAATTCAATTTGCATGTCACAAAAATGTTGAGAATTATAATATCAAAGTAACAAACATATCACACTGTATGAAAATGGTATTAGTTTCATAAAAAATTTCGTACTTCAACTATAATTCTTATCATCAGACATAAAATTTCAGAAGAGTAAAATTTAACTGCCTCGAATTGTCAGCTTTACTAAATTAATTTTATGAATGATTTCCAAGATTAAAAAAGCCTTCACGGAACGTCTCGAATGCAGAACTATCCTAATTGATTTAATAGTTTTATAGAAAATTTGTCATTTTTTAGAATGTTATACTAACTGGTGAAATGAATCACTGATCGTTTTATACTGTATTCTGTAAATACAAATTTGATGGGTTTATTGAAACAAAAAATTTGAATGCATAATAATAAGTACTGAGCTCTTGCGTAAAATATATACATTAGTGAACACAAACATGTTACATACCTGATTGTTTGAAGTAGTAGTTATCTAAGAACAATTCTATAATGGAAGGTGACAATTGAAGATGATATTCAGATTTCGAATTCATGGTTTAATGAGTGACCAACAAAACTCGTATCTTACAACCATCTTTATTTTAGTGATTAGAATTTGACATACATTTATGTCATTAAAAATAAACGAGTGATTGCTGTACATCTTGATGCCCATTCATGTGGGTTTATCGCATCAATAAGTCTGTTTTCATGAGCAATCACAATCAACTCAGCCGATCGATCGCATATTTAGAACGGAAAATGTCCCTTCATCATCGAAAAGTCCAGTTTATGTTACTAAGGCTCTAATTTTCCTTGTTTATATATATGCTAATACTACCGAAATGCTCATCATTGCAAGCAGAAAAATATGGAAAGTGATTGAAACTACAATCTAAAGCCAAAGTTCCCAAAGATTAGTTATTTAGTTTGATCCTATGCTGAGTTTTGAAATTGATAGTGCCTATATTCATTAATATCATAAAGGCTATAGACGGTCCTCATTATCCCGAAATGTCAAAATCATCGTTTGACTCTATGAGTAGCTGGATACCAATTTAACAGATATTTAACACTTAAGAGCTTATCGACATTAGTGTAGGCAAACTTTACAACTGAAGATCATCTACGGTGGTGATGTCATCTGCAAAAATACAACATGAAAAAATGTACTACTTGTAGGTAGTATATCAAATAGTATACCAATTTCTCAGAATATCTATTGCAATAAAAGGATACCTGTCGTCAGGGCTATTTCCCTTCATGATGAAAACTGTTTGATCTATCTTAAACTACATTCTACTCTTGTTATTTGCATAATAAGACAATTAAAATCACTGTGGAGCCTGGTACAAAATTAATTTCGCCCAAGTTGCCATACAACAATGGTACGAGATGAATTTAAGAAGACGTGGATCTGAATCCACCATCAGTCCTCTCAAGATTAAAGGCATACTTTTCTGAAGAGCACCAATTAGCACAAATTCTAAGTTCAGGATTCCCCCTAGACTACTTACAATCACCTGGCATCTGAATAGCGACGAAATCGAAACAATACCGTAGTAGTGGTAGTGAGAATGATATGTGTGAGAGAATACTTGAGCTGAATGCCAAGAGTAGGACAGAAAATTATTGCATCTGCACCACGATGACTGATTTTTAGCTATTACATAAAACATCCTCAGCATATATCAGACCAACGGTCAGTTGTTTTATAAGTAAGATAACTGAAATATTTTTGTTACAATAATTAAAGGTAACAGAAGGGTTAAAACTAAGTGATATCAGAAACAATTATGGATAAAAACATGAGGATATGAGACAATATTGACGAGAGGGATATTTTCAAATACGAAATAAAGTAATATTAAAGTCAAGGTAACGATAAGACGTACTTATTTTTGTACGCACAAAAGTGAGAAGAAAGTAGTTAGAATTTTCATTCTTGAACATTTAATTGACCCTTATTACTCTACTGATCCACAGGTTGATTTGAATGTTGTTTATAAAATTCGTCCGAACCTACCTAGATCTCCTTGTATCAAACTCCTCAAAACAGAAGTAACTCTTGCCATTCATAAGTTGAAGCCAGAACTGAACGTACAAAATAAATATATCTTTATTATCATTACCTTGACCTTAAACTATTACTATTATTATTTATTTTGCATTTGAAAATATTCCCCTCTCTCGTTAATTATGTTTCATATCCTCATGATTTTGTTCATAATTGTTTCTGATATCACTTCAGTTCATTTTTAACCCGCTACTACCTCTAATGTGGTTTATAAAAAAACAGAGAAAAATATGGTCAAGCAAAAAAACTAAGTTGAGCATTATCATATATACATTAAGTTGATTTACGGAAAAAATCTCAAACAAAACGATATATACGAATATATTACTTACATACTAACAATATATTGTATTATCATATTGTTTCTAGGAGCATATACAGTGAAATTACATTTTTGAAAAAAAAAAGATGATTGCTACATAAACATGTAGAAATTTACAATTTTCGGAAACAAAAATAATAATAATTAAGGATTATGAATCGATTGTCATTTCTGTCCCTCACATATATTATATATGACATACAAATGAAGTTATCATAAACAAATTACTTTTTATGTATAAAATTTAGGTTTATAAACTCTACACATAATTTATCACATACTGACTAGTTGTCTATACGAATATTCGTAAATATTAGAACGAATAGTTTGACAAAAATTAAGCACCGATTTGTGTGTTCGTTAAAAAAGTAACATCTATATTATTCACGTAGAAAAAAAATTAATGGACAATTCAGTCTAGCTCAGAATCTTCAGTTTCCTCGATTACAGATTGCTTTGGGGGAAAAAAAAGACAAACAAATAAAGAGTGAATTTTGTTTAGATGAAATACAACAGAATATTATACTTTCTGTCTATTAAATGTTTTTCTTTAAACAAAACTGAATTCACATTCAACAATGTGGATTATCTTAAAACTAACTTACATCGCAGATCCAAACAACAAGTACAACCAAATTTCTTAAAACACGGAAATGCTGAAAACTTATTTCAATAATTTATAATGATGTTATTTATATCATCAGGTGAATGGAATAGTAGACAATGGCAGGTTAACATCTTTTTGACTAGTGTAATAAGATAGTGGTTATCAGGGTTAGGTGTTGTATATTAGATGAATTAAACTTTACTCCATTGCACAAGTTGGTAGCTATCTGGACTCAGCAGCTAAGTGAATAACGCAAGGGCGTTCTAAGTGAACGGTACTAGGTTCGAGATCCGGAGTAAATATCCAGCTGACGAGTCCCAGACAGGCAAAATGCGCGTCCTGAATCCCACTTCTAGTCATCATCCACCTTTGCTTATCAAGGGACTGTTTTAAATTTTTAACATTTTCTTACTAAAACAACTTTAAATAAAACGGTGGTAACTGCTCTTTGTTTCTACCCTAACTTTGTAGTCATACAAGATTGATTTCAAGAAGTTCCAATTGGACGTAGTGATATGTAAAGTCAAATATGTTGAGAATGTGTTACATATCGATAACAGAATGAATATTGTATTATATTATATATTGGTTTCATATATTAAACATTTGATTAGTTTTTATCGTATCGTGGTTACCTCTAAGGCTAGAGGTCATTCATTCAATCTTATGTTCAATCCCCCAAATGTATACTAATATGAGTCACAAAAAATAATTAAAACCAATGTTGATCACTACTTAATTTGTAATAACACTTCAACTGAGAAAAACATTTAAAAGAAGTTGCCAAGTTATTACTTAATTATCTATGTTCTAATTAGTTGAAATTATTATGAAGAATAATATATAGTCTTGGTTACATTACATGTTAATTGTATTCATAAATAAGGTGACCATTAAAATTTTTGTTTACATCTTCACCACTTTAACACAGTTTGATTTGAGTGTGGTATGTCTTTATTTGATTACCAATCACTGAAAATGTACTCTTCTCCTAAGTTAGATTTACTTAACACAGTTTATCAATTACAGTTCCTATAACTGATCAAAATGTGTTTCTTTTTTGTCTGATTATATCTTCACTAGTTATATCAATTCACGTTTCAGATAGAAAACGTATTAAAGATCAAGTTCTCCTTGTTTTAACTAATTACTTCCACGATTAAAACATTCGTTAGTTTGAATTCTTCAAAGAAATGACTGACGAATAAATTATAAGATAAATTATCTGATTTTAATTTATTATTCTTGCCCTTCTAGCAGTGAGAAAAGGCACTTATTTAACATTTCTAAGCCAAAGAAAAGAATGTGATTGATACATAAATTATAACTAGCAATACTCCCCATGACATTAAATCCATAATAATTCCAAACAACGGTCTAAAAAATGAATGGATCTTCACAATCCGTGACAACATCCATATTCTTCCGATTGCATTATATCTTTCTACTATCCAATTAGTCCTGTTTTAGTCTTTAATAAATTTCAGTTGTTTTTATTGTCATTTGTTAAACAAACGAAATATCTACTTTTTTTGTAAAGGCAGTACATAATAGTTGTTTACATTCTTTCGAAATTATTAAAAACTCACCCAACCACCACGTTTATATACCCAATCTGCATACCAACGTGTAAAAAAAGTAATTGTATAATCTTTGATTCGGCCTATATTTGCTCGACATTGGCCAGTATCACGAATTATTGTTTCATATGTTGAATTTGATGGATAAAATTAATTGGAGGTGATTTACTTGATGCATGATAAGTATGAATTAGGATTTCAGAAAAAAAACAAAGAAAGGAATAACTATGAAATGGATAACAACTTAATATGGTAAGCCAACAAGAAGTAGCCTAATGAGGTCAGTTGATGGCAATCAGAAGTGACCTAAAAATAAAGTGCATGTTATTAGCTAAGAAATGGATCAACTTCCAAAGTTTTAAAGTGGTATACATATAAATGAGTATTTACGCACTTTATTCAGTAGCGCAATATACTTTCTTACTCTTGTGTTCTCGTTCAAGTAGTCAGTTGGGGGTTAGCGCGTAGCACACTGTGTATCAGTATCCGATTTTGAACACCGATCGTCACAAAACAAATATTCTTCAGTTTATTATTATAAAAGTTGGTGTTTCCATAATTACAAATAAAAGCTGAAAATTTATTCATTGGTGTTCACGATTTCACTTTTCTTAATAAGAACAATGTACATAGATGATATTCAATTACTTTTGTTTTCCTTCTGTGAAACAGATGAGTAATAGTTTAAATACAAGTTATAGTGACTCATCATGTATTAAAACCACCAAGCAGTACATTAAATCAACCAATATTACTTTGCATTGAAAATACAAAAGACATCTAGATAACGGAGTCACTTTCTCATAAACATCTAGGGCATTAAAAGATGCATCACTTAGTAACCAAGTTGCATGGTGTATTCAAACTCAATACATCAACTCAAATGTCCTCTTTGAATGATCACTGTTTATTGAAAATTACGGAGCGATACAAATTATTTGTACGGTAGTACCTTAAAGCAGCGAATTCCATTTTTTGATGGATAAGATATATATATATATATATATATATATATATATATATATAGAAAAGTCTTACGGATTGAACGCTATATTCGTTTCTTAAGCTATTCTGTAACCCTCAAGCTAGAACTATACAGCGACCTCAACAATGAGAGAGAAGAGTCAAAGTATTCGAGAAGTACTTTACTCCAAGGTTCATTGCAATACAGAAAATATAGGGTTTTATGATATTCCAAATGTCCTTGGGTTGCTAGAAGATTCTGGAATGCTACTAAACATAGTAGCAGTGTAGCAATCAACCAATCAGAACCTCTACATGTGACGTTTCAGTTCCTTGATATTTTTGGCTAAAACTTCAACTGAACACTGATTGGATGAAACGCATCTTAGTGTTTCCTGATGCTTGCTTGTCTTTTGCAAGAAATTTGCCGGATCTCCCCAACACATATATATACATATATGTAGTTTCTGATTGGCTAATAAATATCAGCCAATGGCATCATAGTGCATGCAAAGAGCGTATCTATCACTAATCATTTTCAGGGAGGTGGTTTTGCGGAGATTGTAATAATTTAGTAGCTGAATTCATGGGGTGGCTAAAGCTAGACCACCATGGAAAACCTGGAAGCACTGGACAGCCGTTCCGTTCTAATATGGAACTCCTTAGTAGTGTGCACCCACGACCCCGCTTTAATTGACTCATAAATTCAATCATCAAATTACTAAAATTTCCACAAGACCCCTGAATCTTACAGTAGTCATCATGTGCTCACTAGTTACTGGCTTCAAGAGATATTTCCTGGAGTCCTAGTGAAAAACAGTAACCAGTGGAGTTCAACTGTATCTGTTGTGAGGCAGTGACTCAGTGAAAACAATGGTGGACGGTGGCGCGATTTCGTGATGTGATTGGAGTTAGATATTAACACTGTTGCATACCGGCTCGATGCACTAGAGGTTAAACGTTCGCACGCCAGACCGAAGGTCCTGGGTTAGAGTCCCGCGAGCGGGATGAAAGCCAGACAATGCGATTGAACTCTAACGGTCACTGCTTTTAACAAGAGAACTAGGAATCGCATCTCAGAATTTATCACTTATGAGTACACAATAATTACCAGTATAGCGGCTTGTAGAAATTGTTGAACTTAAAATTTCACATCACGATTGGATGCTAATATAGTGTTCTGAATATTAAGCTATCGCCACTGGACATGAAGGTCCAGAGTTTGATCCTCAATGAGGTCATCGAAGTGCACTGTTGGCTGCCTAATACTAGGAAGAAACAGCTGTCCAGTGCTTCCTGGTCTTCAGGGTCATTCAATCATAGAAACGTTGATATCATTTTAATCAAGCATTTATTTCGTTGGTAACATTTTGTGTATTCGATACTTAAATAATGAGTCCTACTGGAAAACATGATAGCAACTACCCTTTTATATTCAGTGTTAAAGCGCAATGAAAACTAAAATCAAACCTAGAATAAAGCACTTGTCAATAATCAAACTATGAACTGATGTAAACATACCCAATCATAGAATGATCGCTTTCGACCACCTCCCTAAATCAAATGGATAAAAACTATACACCAAACACTTAATAATCAAATTTATTTGATTTCTATTAAACGACCTACCTTCCTGATGATTGTAAATAACTTCCATCAATTTCCTCACTATCGGAATTAATATTTATCGACTGACGTAACGCTGATGAACTTGAAGTTGATTCTTGTATTGTTTCCAACTTTTCTATATGTAGATTTAATATATGTCTAACTGAACGTCTAGTAAGATAATAAAGAATAGCGATTCTATGCCAATTCGGTTGTCGACCTAATAAATCTAGGATATCAGCCTCGAAATTCGGATAATTTGTATGATTTACAAGACGATTTAATAAATCCTCTGTTACAATTAACTAAATTAAATTTCAAGATAATAATAATAAAACCAATAACCATGAATAAATTATATGTGCTATGAACAATCGGATTAGAAAATGTGCAATTCGTACAACTAACAATGAACAAGTTTGAATATTATCATTAAAAAATAAATTGTCAAACTCAATTTGATTATACGTAACTAATTGGTTTTAGAAAGGGATAAACATCAATTCAGCATATCTAAATAATTAAATGAAACCGTTGATAATACAAAAAATAAACGCTTATTCATGTATGAGATTGTTCACAAGTGAATGAGCTAACACACTAATCTATTGAAGAGAATGACATGAGGTTGCCTACTGGTTACCATTACAATTCACCAAAAGTTCTAGGTATCTATAATAACATCATATATTCTATTAGATAACAAGAAGTGCTTTGTTTTCTAATGACTTTAAAAAACAGCAGGATTTATTTAAGTTTGATTTATTTAATGTATTAACTAGCATCAATTAGTGATAAAAATCACTCTCAAATTGTAAAACAATTCCTACGAAATTACTTAAGTAATCAACGTATACCCACTAGTGATTAGTTCTGAGATGATCTGTGAAATCATCCAGCGATGAAACTGAATGAGTATCGTGCTGTATCGAAAAACTGACTGAAACTGAAGGTGAGAAACACTAAACTCAAAAATATTGGTTCCAAGGTGTCGTCTTCGATGAGAAAACTAAGGTTTCATCGTACATCTTTTGTAGTTTTGTTTTGCACTGTTGAAGTGTATCAAACTACGATAAAATGGCTGAGCAAGACTCATGAGTTTGAAATGATTCTCTAGTTGTGACAAGTTCGTAGTAAAAATTCCATCAAACTTCTAATATAGCCGTTAAATAATGGGAGTATCAAAGAATAACATGATGTTTCGAAGTACAGAGTTTGTTTCCAAACGTAATTATCACCTAAGGATAACAACAACGCCCACTAGCATAAGTTCTTCTTTCTGTACATCAATCAGATATTGTACATAACACATAGATCATAATTTAAATCCATCTTTTACAACCTGGGGTCCAATGGTAGACTTTCAGTAAGCGAAGTAAAATACGCAGTCAATGAGCTTGACAGACTAACAGTTATAAAATATGTTAATTATGCCACGCTTTTGTTTGGCTGAATGTGAAATGTTGCCTAGAATGAGAATGGGTTACAAGTTCGAATGCAGACAAAACGAAATACAACTTAAATGAACAAAGTTCTAATTGTTAATTTAAATTACTCGGGCTCGTTCATCCGGAAGACTGGACGACTCGGAATCGAGAACATTGACTGAATTAAACTGAATCATTATTCTACTAAACATTTTAAAAACCTGATCATTCTAACTTGAGTTGTTCTCTTTATTACATTAAACCTTTAGTTATTACTGTATCATTAGTTTGGGCGGAAACCTGGAGAACTACGAAAGCCATCGTCCAGAAGATACAAGTGTTTATTAACAGTTGTCTACGCAAAATACTTCGGATCCGTTGGCCGGACACTATTAGCAACAACCAACTGTGGGACAAAAACAAACCAGATCCCAGCGGAGGAAGAAATTAGGAAGAAGCGCTGGAAGTGGATAGGACACACATTGAGGAAAGCACTAAAATAGTCTGTACAAACAGTTCGAAATATGCACACTTCTATATTTAAGACCTGCTATATGACTAACACATTTAATGTCAAAATACCACATAGTTAGTAAATAGCAATGATAACAAATCTGAAATGGTTAAACAATGGAAGATTAAATCGACTTATATATTGACTATTAAAACAAATTGATATTTTTTACGTTTAACAATAATACTTAAAGAATAATATTGTGAAAACCGACTGTTTGTACACCTACTTACCACTTATGAAATGACAACAACTTTATAACCTGTTCACTAGTAAAGATTCTTGAAACAAGTAAATATTTTTAATAAATAAATACTCAATTTTGTATTTTTTTTCGCTGTTCTTTAATTGTATTAATTCGATAACCGTAATGAATAGAGATATAGTTATTATTTTATTTATTCATAGACAATATAAGACTGCGGATAGTTGTGTGTCAGTTCAAAAAACCCAATTGTCAGATGAAAAAAATGACTAACATGATGAGAGGTGGAGTACAAAACAAGATCGGTCGTAATCGCGAATTCAGCATCAGAATAGTAGTTTAAGAACGAATGAAATGTATGGAAGATGACAAAATTCATTTAAACACAAAGATTGGTACAAGGAAGCACCAAATACATATGCGCTAATATAACCGATATAGGACTATATCAACTGATATGTGAAAGTTGGGGATTCAAAACAAGGAATATGCTTTTAGAGGTACTGTTTGTTTAACAGTTTATGACTTCGTGGACTGTTAATCCATCTTCGTTTTCCTAGCCCAAACTTTCTCGCAACGTACTCCAGCTAGGATTGGACCTCGAAGTAAACGTTAGAAGCGTTTGTGCCACTTAATAGAGGAATTTATACGACCACATTGATCAACTGAAAAATTTCTTCATTGAAATATCTCAAATTTACAAATGATATTTTTAAGTAATCGAACACTAGAAATAATCCATAGCGGATACGTTGTCCTGGTGGTCGGGCTTGCACGATACGAAAACTAAATTAGGTTAGATTGGCTGGAACACTCGTCCCTCTATGTTTCAACATGCCAAGTAGGTTGGTAGGAGAGCTGTAAGACAAAAAGTACTAAACTCGTAATCTAATAGTAAAGTTGTGCTGCCGACTGCATAAAGAGGCATGATAGCGATTAGGTGTCTCTCTAGGACAACTAGCGTCTGTGGCAATGCTGCCTTCTCACGACGGAAGAAGTTGATGAAGGTCGATCCTACACATGTCAAACCTCACTCTGATTCACGGATTCTCGTCTCCAGTGGTAAGGTTTACCAGTAAGACGCTAACTCATTCGAAACTATATATATATATATATCTTTCCACTATTTTCTCATACCCTATCCTCAAAGCCACGTCTTTTTGACTGTTATTTCAACTACATTATTCCGATCTTTTTTACTATTCATCGTGTTAAATTTATCTCATCGTGATAATGAAGTGTGCAAACTTTGGGCTAGCATCTACGCTGATGATAATTGACTGACTAGAAAGAATATGAATACCAGGCCCTCAGTCATATGAACACAAGAGTATAGTAAATTGTTGTAATTGTACCTAAACTACAACACTACAAATTACAACCTCTTAGCTCAAAAGACTCAGATTTATGAAAGGGCAGTATATAAACGCATAGAAGTTAACATGTATAAAATTCTGATAAAGAATAATGGTTTGTAATGACACTTTACTTTATTTCGAAGTTGTAATCGTTTCACCTGTTCTAAACAAGAATATTTCAAATTACGTTGGCTTGATTCTAATGATGATGCATTATGTAAGTCTGATGATTTTGTCGTAGCAAAAAAATTAGTTACAGAATGGCATCGTCTATTCTTTAGTTCATTTCTTTCTGTTATGTTATTGAATATATTTTCATCTGATGATGAATTACCCCGTGTTGTATTTTCTAAGGAATTCTGACAACGTAAATTCTCAGCTCCATTACTAACCGAGTAGAATCGTTCACGTTTAACAGATTGAGCATTTTTGTGTTTGGCCGCTTTAGATGCTTCTGCTTCTAAAGTCTGAAAACGTAATTCTAAATCATCTTCTGATATTTTACCCATAAGACGTTCAGACAAAGCATCAATCATAGCTGCAACGTATTTAGCATATGGATAGTGTGTATTGTCATTTGTTGATGAATGATTGAAGTTTTCTACTTTTAATTCATTTTGAAGTTCAGAATTGTTTGAAGAATTCCTCACCGCACAGTTTTCGAGATTTTGTGTTACTTTATTGAACTGAAATTTCAAAAACATGTCGACAACATGTGTCGAAAATAGAATGAGTATACCACATTATCAATTATGTCAAGAGTTTGTCTTAGTTTTTTGACAGATAGGATCAGATAAACAAACCTAGTTTGAAAATTTATAATAAGAGGAAGATTGTTAATACGTAAATAAGATTTATCAAGATCTATCCAGATGGACTTTGATATACTAAAAGAAAAAGACAAAGACAAGAGGAAAGTGAAAGGTAAAGACAAGTGATACTTGGACTTAATTGATGAATTTTTAGATTTCAGGTGCAAGGTAAAAATAATGTCAATTCTTCTAGTAATAGATGCAAGAAGTATGCTCAGATTCGATAACCAGTCTACATCGGCAGTCATTAACCTGATTCAGAGACATTTTTCGTTCAAGCAATACTACACATTCTAGTCTGCTTCAACCAGTACATCTAGCATTGGTCATATACTAGGTTTTTTGTTATCAACAACGAGATCCGTGGTGTAAATGGATCAGCTATCGCATATATATTTCTCTATCAGATCTTATATGTTCAGCGGTTACGCCTCGTAATCCGAAGGTAGAATGAACTGACTGATGAATCGCATGCTCGATGCTAAATCATATAATAAATAAAATTTCGGCATTTGTTACTTCTTTCACCTCGATAATGAAAGTAAAACTTCTGAATGCTGAATAATGATTATCTTAATATTAATTGATACGATAGGAGCGTGCACAATCTTATCCCGGACGATTTAGGAACAATAGAAAAATTAACCCGTACTTTAAAAGTTGGTTTTATCTTTACTTCAGACAGTCGTATTAAACAATTCTCAATCAAATTGGGGTATCTACGCGTACTGATTAAGTGGAACATATTTTTCAGCTAATTTGACCACAATTTGAATTACATCAAGTCGATTGAGTACCCAGGTAAGACAAAAAAATAAAATCTACGATCAAATAGAACCCACAACACAAGTAGTTAAAACTAGAGAATGCGCACTATTAGCCCGATGTGACCATCAACCCTGATTCATGACATTCGTTCTCTTTAATAAAATATTTTGTGGAAATATAAAGGCTCCCTTGGCAACATTCTTAAATTACCGGTTACAAAATCCAAGTAACATAAACCAAGAATACATAAATAAATTTCCTTTACGATAAATGTATTGAACATCTCAGTATTTGTCGTTATTAATTTATTTGTTTACTTGTCACTATTTATCTGTCTATTTACGTGCTAAATAATAAACATCACAACTAAATGACTGATATCAATTAAATTGTTTTTATTCACTACAGAATATTAGTTATTACATACATATATAAACAATATTGGTTATAAATTGTTATAAGACTAGTTCAGTATGGTTAATTGACCTATTAAACATACGTCAAAAAGGGAGAATATTTGCAATAGATAAGGACAGTCAGATATCAGACACGATCGACAAATATTTGAGTGTTCACAATTTAGTACTAAATAGTCGACCATTCGTTAAATGAATATATATACATGAGTGACACACTTGGTTGGGACGGTAGAACCTTAAGAAGCCAGTGCCATAGCCAATTTAGCCCGTTGTTAAGACAAATAAAATCATCAATTCAATGAATTACTTACAGTTGGGACAGTAGGACTGAAGAAACATTTATAAAGAAAATACTTGGAAAAAAAGCGTTACTTACAAAAAGTTCATTTTTGTTGAAGATTTATTTGCTTGATTCGGTTTAGAACTGATGGTAGTATTTTTTAGTGCTTCATCAGTCGCTTCCCTACTTGACACTATTTCAACCGTAACTTTTGTATGATCAATAGTACAATGCTGCATTGTAGATAAATCATTGATTGTAAAGTCATATGTGGATTTATTCGATTTATCGCATTGAACTATAACTGAATTCAAATTGAAAGACTATAAAATAAAGATAAAAACAAAAACTTACTTTACATTGTTCATAAAAGATTCGAAAATTACATTAAAATCCCTATGTACGAATTCAAAGATTCAGTAAACGCCAAACTTCGAGATGAACAGGTTGGATTCCGCAACGATCGGTTGTGCACAGATCAAATGGCGACACTACAGATCGTTGTTGAGAAGTCGGTTAGATGAAATTCGTCACTACACAAGGGAAAAAGCAAGATCCTTAAATAGAACACAGAGAATACCAACCAAATCACATTTGCTGGAGAAGCTGTAGAAGAGGTGGAAACTTACACATACCTGGACATCATCATCGATAAACAAGAAAGATCTGATACAAATGTAAAGACGAGGATTGGCAATGCAAGGGTGGCATTCCCACAACTGAAGAACACATGGAACTCAAAACAACTGTCAGCTAACACCAAAGTCAGAATCCTTGATACGAACGTCAAGACAGTTTTACTGTACGGAGCCGAAACTTCGAGAACTACCACAACCATCAGCAAAAATGTACAAGTAATTATAAACAATTGTCTACGCAAGGTAATCAATGTCCGTTGACCGGATACCACCAGCAACAGTCTACTGTAGGAGCAAACAAACCAGCTTCGGGGTAAAGAGAAGATTAAGAAAAGACGTTACTGGTGAACAGGACATACATTACGAAAATCACCAAATGCATCTCGAAGCGAGTGCTAACTTGGAATCCTGAAGGGAAGATGAAGACTAAGAAACACACTGCCCCGAGAATCGGAAGCAGACATCGAAAGAATCAATATCAATTGGAAACAACTGGAAAGGATTTTCCATGTTAGATTTTGATGGAGAACGCTAGTGGGCGGCCTATGCTACACGAAGGATAACAGCCCTAAATAGCATAAGTTATTATATTTCACTTAAGTGCAAGATAGATATTCAAAGCATTTTGTAATTTTTATTCTATATCCTAATAGCCATTAAAATTCAAAAGCAAGTGCATCGCTCTTCGCTGGAAGTACCGTGAAACGTCCAAACAGACTTCATGTGATGATTTTCCAAATATCGACATTCTTTCAAAAAATATTTCTACACAAATCACTAATGATGACGAGTCATAGTTCGTCCAAAGTATGACAATTTCTTTAGTAAGTGGGTTTATTGTGTGCCTGTATGTTTATCACATCAGATCGATTTTGAAAGCCATAGTTAAGATGGCTGACTGGAAAGGAAAACTTCACATTTAGACTGCATTGATATAATATAAAAATGCTATGACTCATAACCCATGCACACGACTGTAGTGTATTGGTGAAAATCATAAATTCATAAACAAAACAGGTTAGATAAATTTAAGAAGGATATGTCTATCTTTAGACGCACAGTCTGACTTATCAGCTAAATCGTACAATTAAGCAGCATATACAATAATAATAACAGCATAAACACAACTGCAAGACAAATGGCTTGTAACGGGAAGTGTGACTAACGTTAAATAGTAAACTCAAAATAAATTTGCTTAAAACAATGATGAAAATAGAGTGGGTGAGATGACAGATGCAGTCCTACTTTAACATTCACATTGCCATATGACTGTACAAAACACTTGAATAGAATATGTTTCTGTAGTGGCTGTGCTTCGTTAACTAGTCACCCTCGTAACCGTTACCATAGAATCCTCAACGGTGTTTGAAATCAGAAGGCAAAGAGAAACAGCGACTACAGTCTTATTAGTAGATAATTCAGACAACAAAGCCGAGAGGCAAACGAATGATTCAGCGAACCGAGAGTGTAGAGTGTTAAATGTATGGATCATCGAATCAATTAAGCAGCTAATAATAAAGTTAGCAGAATGAATATATGCGTAGGCGGTAAGAAATGTTCAAGCATACATATTTCATACACGCACAACAATAATAAAGGTACAATAAGTTGTTATAGTACGGATGACTTTGTCCGCTAGATAAGTTAACAAAAGGGCTTAACTGAGTTAAATGAGAACATACTCAATTGCACGTGGGTTGTTATATTTCCTTCTTCTGTTCAATAAGCAAATGTGTTAATACAGTAAGCAAAGAGAAACATTAACACCTAAACCTCAATCTAACATCATTCTGTCTGATGACGCTAAACGTTCTCCTGAAAAGCTGGTTATTTCCTAAAACCATATTCTTGGCAAGAAAAAATCCGTACACTGAATTATACAAACATACATTTCCCGAAATGGCTATCATCACAAAAGCAATGAACTGATGAAATATTGAAAAACCAAGAGCATAATTGATTTAGGTGGAGTTTTGTTCTCTGACCTAAATGGTTTGTTCGTGGAGCTTTCGTTGTTCCTCAGACCAATATCATCAGCACAAAGTTCAGGTCGAAGTAGTGTGTTCTAATTTCTCCACATATGATACAGCTTTCCTGTAACCCTTGATCTTGACCAGTTTTTGTTGTCCTTTAATCTATCACCATCTATTTTGATTGTATCTCCAAATGATTCTTGGTCCTGTATTTGTCCATAATTTTTCTGATTGGTTGATAAACTGGATCAATTTCAGTGTGTTTGTTGATTAATCGACTGACCTGAGGCCCAAGCCTGTATCCAAGATCTCAACATTTTTCCAGTTGAATGTTTGTCCACAGTTGTCCACATTCATTGATGGAAAAGGAGATATGTCATGGATCTTGAGAGCTAATTGATATTCATGCAGGCAAAGATGAAGGGGAGTCCAGTTCGTCCGATGTAGTGTTTTTTCACAATTGGAACAGTTTATTTTGTAGATATTCGGTTTTTCTCCTTTTGTCATTTCGTCTTTTGATTTGCATAGGATTGATTGAAGTGATTTTTTGGTTTTTGTGCTACACCTATTCCAAACGGCTTCAACAATGTCGATGTAATTTCTGATATGTATTTGATATATGTTAGGATGATCCGTTTGTTGGTTTCTCTACTTAATTTTGTTTCTGATGCGTTTGGTTGATAATTTTTGGTGAAGTTCATTAGGTAGCCGTTCTTTTGGAATAAAGTAATTATATACTTTTCCTCATTTTTCTGCGCTGCAAGTGCTGCAATGTGTTTTCGACCTCTTTAATAAAGTTCGTACGCAAGTGATTCTGAGCTCTTGGGTTGGTACTACCATAATTGGGAATTTGATATGTGTGAACCGGCTAACGATATTCTTGAGTCTCTAATTTCTCTCTGTCGGTTTTAGTGATTAATACATCTTAGAATGATAGGTATCTGTTCGGATCATTTTCCATTGTGAATCATCTTATGTCATCGATGACGTTGTAGGTGCTTTCCAGCCCATCCTTTTCATCGATGATGAATACAACATCTACATTTTTGGCTTAATCACCAGTGATATCGAGGCTTTCAGTCTCTGAATCACTGCTTCCGTAATAAATCCTGACATTAGTGATCCCATTGGTGTTCCTCTCGTTTGTTTGTAGATTATATTATTGAGTTGAGAATGTTGTTAAGCATTAAGCGATGAGTTCTAGTAAACTCCGGCGTTGAAGCTTCGAGTACTTTTGGAGATTCATATCATCGGTGAGGAGCAGAGTTAGAGTTTCCTTTGCTAAGCTTGGTTCGATTGAAGTGAATAGAGGCTGTCACATCGAAGAATATCATCAGTTCGTCGTTGTTGGTCTGAACCTCCTTAACCTGTGGATGTAGAATCTCCACGACACCTATCTTTTATTTTTATCACGGCCAAAGATATAATCTTCCAAATGATTTATTGTCCCTTTAGAACGCTTGTTTTATTTTTGTATTTTCAAGTTCATTATAGTCAGTTATATATACATGTCCCTTATCTGAATACACTTTCAATAAATCACCCCTGAAAGATTTGTCGATAGGATTAAACGGCTCTAGGACGAGAAAAGGTGAACGAGATATATGTTGTAGACAAATCGATGCTAGTTGTCACCGGATATAGACAAGCCACATCAGTATTTTAAAATGAATCAGGATGGACTACTTATTGAAAGACAGATTAGGATACGAGTGACGCTATTGGAATAAAAGACAATAATATAAAAATGCTGCACATGGTTTATAACTCCTAAGCATTTGAAGATTTTTTCCATCCAAAAAATAAACAAATCAATAACAAGTGCATTTTGACATTTCGTTTCTTATCGGATGAGTAATTCTGATTAGCCAACTGGTAACAGCAACAATAGTATTAATGGTAGATTCAGCTATATTCAAACTAAAGATAAACAATAAATGCAGAACCAGATGCGATAAAATATGGGAGGAAAGGTTCAGTAACATTTGATACCACATAATGAAATAATTACGGAAAAACTTACAGGTGCATTAGTTTTATCTGAAGACTGAAGTTTTCTGTGAGTGAAATGACTCCATGTTTGTGAAGTAGATTCAATCAATTTATCGCTTCCTATTGTTTCGATCAATCCACGATAAAGACAAGCAATTTCGCCAGATACCTTTGAGCTAGGTGAACCGATTGGCCATGTTTTGGAATTCATTATTGGGGTATTAAACGAGTCATTTTCTAAAAATTCTTTATCCGATGAGTGATTTGATCTGTTCAATAAGTTATACTCTACTTTTTAACTAAGAAGTTCCCTTTATTTTCAATTAACCCAACATTCCCATAATGAGAGAATTTTGATGAACGCCGTTTGGTATATAATGGTAATAAGCGGAACTAGACAAGTGAATGGATTAAATAGATATTTAGTCATAACAGTTAATAAAAGAAAGCTAAAACAATTCACTCTACATTGAGAAAAAGAAATATATCGGATACAATTAGTTTAGGGGTGCATGAATGCCTAAAACTGACTGATTAACTTAAATGCGATATGATCTGACTCAAATATAATTTACTTAATGCTTTGTTCATTCGTGAGAGAACATTTTCACACGAATTATCTGAAAATATAAACGGGGCTGCGTCACCTATAAAACTTGTGGAAAGTTGCAAGGTATCCAATGAGAAGAGTACGTAAACAACAAAGTATGTCGGTAAAATTTACAAAGCTTTGATTTAGGAAAAAGAAACCTTACTGGTGCTGATCCATTTATGTTGTATCATCAAATAGTACCAATGATTTATCTTTGAAAGTAAGTAACATTGGTTAAGTTGTTCTGTTTTTTTCTTGGCTCTTTTTCATTTATTTTCTAGGTAAATTACCAAATGACCAAACGTTTTAAGTTTCTGTCAGTGAATTATCATATTCACGTCAAAAAAGGTATCTGTGTGGATAAAGATTTATTCAAAATGTATTGACCATTACGCAACCTGCTTCTGTTGTTTTAAATCTCGGACCACTTTATGATGAGACCTCTTTTATCCAATCTATAGACTTACATTTATTAAACAACTACAAATACGAATGTACAGCTTAGGTATATGACTTCATAGAAAAGATTTTCTTCGCTGAATCCTCTTTATTTTATTCAACGATACAATGGGTCACTTTAATTGCCGAAATGTATCGATTACTTAGTACCAACAGATCTCTTAAAACGTTTTATTAAACACTTAGTTCAGGAGAGATATATTAGGATAATTAACTAATATACTGAATCTGACTTCTTAGAATATTAGTCACTTTAGATTAATTCCTCTACTCTTTATGCTTATGATAGCTAATTTATGGGTTGATAAGCCTTAAGTTTAACGTTATTTGATAAAATCACAAATTATCTAGTGGTAGAACATTGTCTTTTTACGAGCGGGATAACATTTTCCAGGCTGTGTTTACGCACCTTACTGGTGGATGCTAGTTTTTAATCTCTACGATTTACTGTAAAAAAAACCCAACTACATGATAGTAACAACTAAGTAGATATCTAAGATATTTTATATCCAATTTACATTTTCTATGATCAAGCTATATATTCATAACACTAGTTTATCAGATGATACAATAAACTAGTTGTAATCAAGTGCTCATATTATTCAGTAAAGTAACCCGAACATTATCAGTCATCAACAACATAGAACCTTACACACATGTATATCGGCTCAAGTGGAAAATGATTTATATCAATCAAGATGGAAGGTCAAGAATCTGAAATAACGATATGAATGATAATGGGGGGGGGGTGAATAAAACGATTTAAGTTTATATGGAACTAATGACGTTAAAGAATGAATTGTGTTACGTTTAAGGTCCCAAAATGAAAAAAATTAAATACATCATCAACATTGTTGCTAGTTTTGAACCTCAGGTTTTAATCTAGGAATTACAATTATCTCAAACGACTATAAGCAAGAGCCTTCACTTCCATTTACACATTAATCTGCTTAACAAACTATAATTTCATGGTCTGATGACATATTTTGATCTAGCTGTCAGTAAATTTTATCCAACATATGCCTATGCTATTTAACATTGTTCCTTGATGTAGCTGGTGGTATGCTATGACATAAACTATGTTCCATCGACTAACATTACTTTGAGATTATTTACCAAATAGACAATAAGCAGTAGCATTTGAAGATGATGTACAGAATATCTCAGAATTTAAACAATGAGACCTTACGTTACAAAAGATGAGAAACCCTACCTCTTCTTCTTGTTCTTCTACAGAAGCTTGAGTAGAAATTTTATCCAATTTCCTAGCAGTACGTTTTTTTCGCTTTACTCGACGAATAGTGTTTGTGGATAGCCTTTGTATTCTAGGGAAAAAACCACTTGATAAATAATTAGACGAAGATTCATTCTGACGAAATAATCGGGGGAATAACTGAGCACATACATTGGTAAGTGGTGGATGATGAAGCCTTTCATTTGGTTTGTTTATGATGTTTGTACTCAATTTTCTGTTGGGTATTGGAGGAAAAAGGGTACCATTGACTTCAGCACAGCCATTATATTCTTTTTCTAGAATTGATGCTTTGTCGCGAGAACTAGTTCCCATAAATACACTGTTTAATTCGAATATTTCCTCTTTAGCTGTAGATAATTTATTTCCAATGTGAGACTTTAAGTTAAAACTGCTTTTGGGAAGCCGGAATTTAAACCATTTTTTGGTAGCACTTCGTTTAGGTATTATGCGCACACAGTTTTTTACGTCTTCAGGGGCTGACTTAACACTGAAACGTCGAGTATATTCATTATGATGAGAGTTAACTTCGATTGCTGACCATTCCTCTATTTTAGGTATGGTGTGAGTTTTTTCTGCACTTCCACCGCATACACTATGATAGCGCATGATCGATGAAGATACAGAATCGTCTTTCATTACAAACCTCTTGGACAATGAACTGCCAGTTTTTATATCAGGTATTTGAATTGGTATTTCAAACACTGGTGGACTGACTGATTCTATGCTAACTGAATTATATAGTGAATCAGACTGTCGAGATTTAGCACTAAGACCATCAACATTGTCAAAACGAGGAAAAAATTCATTCATTTTTGTTTTCTGTGCAAATGATCCATTCATTGACTGAAGAGGAATTTTATTAGGAATAATTTCACAGCTAAGTGAACAAGCTAAAAATAATGAGAATGTACAAAATTAGACCTGAAACTCCGTGTTTTTATCATTTTAATAAATGAGAACATGAATTCTACTAAACCGAACGACTAACATTTTAATCTAAAATTATGTAAGTTAACAGTCAATTCTTTTCAGAATATTTCAATCATTTTTGATGAAAATCAGCCTTCAAAATCAATGTTTTGGACGTGAGATTATAGATTTTTATTACAGTAAATTCATATGGTAAATTAACATTTGTCTCATGCAGAATACAACTTATTTGATTTGAAATATAAATAAACTTTATGCCTATCATAATAAATAAAATGAATTACTTTACTGATCAGGAACATTCTTTACAACTACATATTAATTTTGAAGAGTTTGGCGATATTTGTGGCATTAAGTCCAATTACTATCCCTTGCGTCAGGATTCATCTTTAAACAGTATGGAGCTTTAAAGTAAACATACGTTTACTTATTACTATACGAGTTGTCACCAAAAACAAACTTAGCAATCTACTTCTCATAAGAATTGTAAGGCATATAAATTATTTATTTTAAATCTGAACCTCCTTTTATCTAATGGCATTTGACTTTTATGAAGATGATACTTGGAGTCAATTATAACCTCAATGAAACTGAGTAGTTTTTAAACAATTTTTCAATACTTCTAGACAGACGGGTAGCGTATTACCTTGTTTGTTTGTCTTATCACACTGCATTTAAGCAGAGCTTTTAACGAAAGTTATAAAAAAGGAGAAAACATAAAAACTTTATCGGGTAAATACTTTTTTAGTTTTAATTTTTACTAAAGTGGGAAGAATCAACCTGGTAGTACTTTCGTGAAGTTCAACACACTAATTAGTGGCATAGTGATGCAATAATAGTTTTTATTTTTTGGTTACAAATTATAAATGTTGCATAATGAGTGAATTTTGACTTTATACTGTGTAAAATTGCCTTGAACAAAGACTTAACTAATAGCTGTAGATATTAAAGAAAGGCTACAGTATAAGTAATATCAAATCAAATTCTGACAGTTACAATTAATTGGTAATGTTTTTGATTAGCACAAATCTATTGTGTATTTTTAGCTGTTTAGTGGCCGCTCACCAGTTATGCGGTTCAGTTGTTGCTAAGCTGATTCTTTCTAATTTCGCCCGAAGTCTGATAGTATATGTGAATTTGTAACAAAATATTCTGCAGCACAGAATCCACTCACTGGGGAAAGCCACTCATGTCATGAAATCCAACTCTCAGTGATTGCCGAGTAAAATCAATGAAGTTTACCAAACAGTTATCAAGCTTGGAAACTTGCTAATGTTTTGCTGTGCAACTGATACTTTAGGGCACAAAAGAAGTCTCATGCATTTGTTTCACTTATGTCAGCATTAACCAACAAACGTTGCTGCAGGCTTAGCTTCCAATGAGCATTAAACACGTGTCTAAGGCTTTTTATAATGTGATTTAAAAAATATTTATTGTTGGCTGTAGCTACCACTTTGATGTGACTGGATTTGCCTATCTTGAAGATCAAGTTAAACCAAATTATCTTTAATACCTAAATCTAAGTTAGGATGGTCGGTTGCAGCCGGTATAACGTATACGGGGGAATTTTTACTGCCCATCGTACTGGCTTGAAATATCAGTAATGTGTTACGCATGAATGACCAGCATCTCTAAAGACGCTGCCATTCCACAATGGAAGGAAGGGTCAGAAAAGGTTGACAGTAGAAAGAGTACATTTTAACTTACCTGTATGCAACCAGACTCAAACAGTAACCTCAGACACAGTGCTTATGATCATAGATCATCAAGGCCACTATTAACTAAATTTCTTCTATAGGTACTCCAGAAAGTTTCTTTACACGGTGTGAACAACAGATAAGTGAAAACTGCCTACACACATCACACAATACATGAGCCCATCTTGTTCACAACAGACACTGAATTATTGAATGAACATAAAAAAAGATAACTTGCTTACTGATAGCTTTATATAACCAAGTGAATTTTCATCAAATATGAACCTACTATCGTTAAGATGTGTTGTCGTATTACCGAAATGTGGAGAGATCTTTTCTAACTTCTCTAAACGTTCTCTGTTATCAAGAGACATATTCAGTATTTGGTTAACATAGCTAGCACTTGCGCACATCTGGCAAGGTGATAAAAATAATATGTTTTTCCTTACTGGTGCTTGATCAGCCCCTAACAGTTCATTATTTTTTATGTAATCTTTATGGGGCAGTACGCTTATGTCGTCATGGTAAACATCTGATCCTTCTGTCATTAAATCATTAGGTTTGTAAGGATTAAACACAAACGCACTGTCAGATTTAGTATTTTTTTGCCTTCTAAGAGAGCTTATGTTCAGGTAAGCCTCTAACATCCTAACAGCTTCTTGTGTAACATGCAACGGAGTCTCTGGAGGATGCATGCTCAATTCGGACCTGAAGTAACAAAATTTTGACGGCAGATTTTTAGAATCCATAATGATCCTTCCTATTTCTCGTACAAATCTATAAGAAAATGACGAAAATATTTAAAATTAGTACAAATATTTTTATCCTTCAATAAATTGTAGGAATTACAATTTAGTAATAATTTAGTTCTAGTTAAACTTGTCTTCTAGAATAAATTGAACAATATGTAGCCTAATCCTCAGTCATTTTAGGCAACTTGGTTAGAAGACAACAAGTGAAAACCAATAGATTCAGTTCAAGAGAAATCAAGCTGTTAACTGTTTTGTGGCTGAGGCCAGTAAAAAACTTATTCCACAGTTATTGTTAGAAATAAGAGACTGTTGCCAATTTATGAATTTTTGGTCGTCGCAGTCAGGTTTACAAGGATCAGATCGAACATTATGAAGTCAAAATACACTTATAAAAACAATTTATGTGCCACATACTGTAAGCTTCTATCTACTCCACTTTAAAGTTATTCCAAAGTCTATACAACCAACGATGATGCGGTTTTTTTAAAGTTCGATTAGAGAAAGTACTTAGACAGACAAGCGTGACTTAGGGAAACCCTTAGCAGTAATCAATATTAAAGTGTGAAAATCACTCCCTCTTACGGTCACCTAGACTTCCCCTTATAATTTTACCAACCCTCGCACAAACTTAGTTTTCAAACATGAGGAGAATCTTACCTATTAGGGATTACAAAAATGGGTTTATGGTTACACGAATGGCAACCTTAGCTATACCTTACACGTTATTTTTAAAAAATAATTTGAATTAAATACCGAATTTAGTAACATGGATGGGAACTTGTAAGGAAAGATGTGCACGCGGTTGACAACTGTGGTCCTTGGTCATCATTTTATGAGGGCAGTTCGAACGAAATAACTGATAATGGGAACACGATTGAAAAACTTCTATGTAGTCATGGTGATTCTTACTTCATGATTAGACAGGAGGAATAATCCAAGTTAGAAAACATTAAAGACAGTCTTTTGAATTACGGTAGGGAGAATGTTAGTTCTGACTATCTGATCCAGCTCTGCCCCATGAACGCACTTATTACGACTGTCAAAATGCCATTCAGTAGCATCGATCTATTTTTTTAAGATATAAAATTTGTGAAATTCACAAAACACCGAGATGCCCTTTGTCTCATAAAATCAAAATCAAAAGGAGGAACAAAAGATGACTTGTTCGTACGTTCATTACATTAGAGCACAGACTATTTGTTCCTATTTTTGGAAAAGTAAATGATAAATATCGACTAACATAATGTACGAAAAGATCTTAAGTCAAAAACTGTCGTCCCAATAACTCTTTGTCTGAATTTATCGGATAGAAATCACAAATGTTAGGAGGGAATAGAAACCTCCAATAATTTTCTGATATTTCAGAAATCCTTCAGTAAACGTAACTTTTAGAAGTAAGGAAGCCAATGTGGGAGCGATAACTGCTACCACCCTTAAAAATAGCGGCTGAGACAGAAGTATATGTCTGAACACAAAATCAGCTAGTGATAAACAAATAAATTTAAGAAAGCTCTTAGTAATTAGTGGTGTATAGTTATTGACATTTTATGAAGAAGGATCGACAGAAGTAAACCATATTGATGACCTAAGAAATTTTAAGATCTCTTACGTGCCAATATTAGGGTAGAGATAAACTTCACGCTGTCAGGTCATCAAAGTGTTTCGTTCTCGGTAATTACTGTCATGTTTTCGCTCATTTAGTCACTGAATCGTACATACTTTGAATTAATTTCTATCATAGAGTAAATTGAAGGGGTAACTTTCTTTATGTTATAAAGTTTCATTCACTAAAACTGATTGCCCTACACTCAATACATCCGTAGCAAGATGGAGAGATATCTCCATCGTACAAAAGTTTTACGCTTAAGCCTGCAGTGGACACTGTGAGTAGTGAAAGCTTTAGGGTGTCATTGTTTACGGCTGTGCCTTGAACGACCAAACATAAAAGGGAAAATAAAGTGAACAATTTTTAAGAAACTAAGAAGGAATTAATGGGGAGACTCTCTGAAATTTTCGTGTTGCCCATCCTGGAAATGGCCCTTTAGCTTCTTTTTATCACCGAAGCAACAACCATGAATGACATACCAATAACATACTTCAAGCTTCTCTTTATTAAACTTGCTTTTGACCATGTAACCTAGTAACATATATGAACACAGAGTGACAACGCCTCTATTTCTGCTAGAAAAAACCTTATCCTGGTTACTCGTTTGGGAACATAATAACAAAAAACATGTAAGCACGACATGAAGTGTGCGCTAATACAGTAAAGGATTCTAATCAGCGGCAACATTTCTTGTGAACATATAAGACTGCATAAATGGCGATCGTTGGAGACAAAGAAACTCCGAATACTCCTGAGATACTGACGATCCAGCGGAAAACGTCGTAGACCGAAACGTTCTGCTCGTTATGGATTGTAATAGTGCAAATGATAATTCCAGCTTCATCCTAACTGGTTTTCAGGTTCAAGGTCCAAATCGTGGAGGTGACTGAACTTCATCCACCAACCCCAGAAGAGCATGAGGCATTGTTTGGTTCGAAAGACGATGAAGTCACAAGGGTTTGGGGAGTTTTGAGATAAATAGTGAACCTTTCAGTGAATTGTTTCTCACAGTAGGCGATGTCGTTAGGTGTCCGGTAAATCAATTAGAGTAAGAGTTCGGAATAAGTTTTCAAGTTAGAAACAAAAAGTAAGACTACGTTTTTGGGTTGAAAAGTAGGCCAAGGGCTATCATCACGAAATGATATCGATTATAATCCAAGAGTAACGGTCACAAAACCTGAGTACAAACCCTTTCTGCTTTCTGGTCATCTGGCGAATAAGTACGAGACGATGTCACAAACCCATTTTGTTCTCTCATACAGTGTAGTACTACTTCAAAATCTCTCAAGTCGCCTTGAAAAACCAGATATTCCAACGTTGCCATCGTCCTGAAACCAATACATTTTTTATTGTTAATCTAAGAGTCGTTTAAGTTGGTTGTCGTCCATAAGCATCCCAATTTGTATAGATTCTCAGAGTCTGATTGACAAAATATCGGTAAGGTATGTCAAGTTCTTACATTGCTTTCAGTAATATACTAGCAGTTTGTCAATGCATTTATGACTTCGCGATAAAGTTCAATAACCGCTTCAGTCATTCTCACCGGTTTATTCAGTGTCGTTGGCACAGATTACATCCGTCGAAACATCATTCGTTTCCACTGTCATATCACCTTCAAGCAGCGTTAAGCGAACAGAATTCTTGTCACTTTAATTTAACGGGACAATAACGTACATAAAAGTATGTGAAAAGCAAATAAGAGCATTCAGAAGTAACGTTTGATGTCTGCGCTAAAGTTGTCTTTTAACCGGCTAGACCTACTACCCATCATGGAATTCAACCATCAATCAAGGATTTCTAAACAAATTTGTCACAAGCAGACGTTTCCAGTTTATTTCAAAAGGAATTCATCGGCTAAATATCTACCTACAGTGTCCGGCATTATATCTTTTTCGAACCACCTCTTTTCCTTTAACCTTGACTATTCTCAGTTGTTCCTTGGCTTGTGATAAAGTTTAGGTTTCCTTGAAGTAGTCCATATCCCTTTTCTCAACAGAAATCTAATTCCTTTTCACGTTTTTGGGAGTAGTTGTGACCAAGGTTCACCTCACTACATTAAGACCGTTTCGACAGTGGCATTAAAAATCCTGAACTTGGTTTGTTGAATTATGAACCTAATCCTGAAATTGTAGATATGCCGTGATGTGAATACACAATCTATAAGACCTTACGTGAAAGTCACATCAGTGTCTATTCTGACTAGTCATATCACGACAATCCGCAATATAGCGTCCGGCATTTATAGAGAACACATTTGGGCCAGCGATAGGGTAATATGTTTCATGCAAGGACAAGTTATACAGAACGACCACGTCTGCGAGGCTGAGCTATGCCATCCGATTTATTGAATGAATAATCCCTAGCTCACCATTACTGGCCTTTTCTCCATGTTAAATGTTAAATATTTTTCTAGCCACTTCATTTTCAGCTTTGAGGATTGTGTGGTTAGGACTAATACCACTACATGTCTTTAGTGACAGTTCTTTTAATTAACAGACGCTTTCTAGCTATATGTAGGCTGGCTTCTCTTCGTTAGTTTATGCCCTCACATCTGAATGAGATTCTCCATATTTATCAATGTTACCGCGTGAAAATGTGGAGGCTTTCATCACCTCTAGAGATATGTCATAAAGCTTGATTTGATTAATGTTCACTGTTACACTTTTAGACCTTAATTTGCTCCTATGTCGGCTAACTTACCTACTTCTAAAAAATTTGCAGCTACACTAGTTGTCTTATTTTCGATTGCTTACTATGTGTGAGATAAAAGAATTAAGTCACCTGCAAAGTCCAGGTCAATCGACTGTTTCTAAGGAATACACTAATAGCAGTGCTCTTCCTTGGATGCAGAGGTCAACTTGATCCGGTCAATATCTAGCGGAAGGAAGAAAGGTGACGATAAGGAGACTTACTGGGCACCAGTCCCCACCCGCATTGCTCGTGAGACCAGTTCTATTCGACCGATTGTTTAGCAGTGACTCACATAGTTCCGAGTTCACTAAAACATGATCCATCTTTACGAATATCAGCTTGTAGATAAAAAAGTGAGCTACCTCATTAGCGAGTTTGTTGCTGATTGTTCCTACTTTAAAGTCTTTCTCAATAGAGCGTGCAGTGCTTTTGCGGTTACCTCCGTGTCTAAATCAAGTGCTTTAGCTTGTATGGTGTCTAGTCCTATTGCTCTCCCATTCTTGATTTATCTGCTGGCCTTCCTGAATTCATCGATCGTTGATGGGGAGACATCTATAAGAACGTTTATGTATGCTGCGTCGATGTTCGTTGGGTTCAGTGTAGCTGATCTACTCAAGAGCTCATCGAAATATTCTACCCATTTTTC